ACAAAAAAAAAAAAAGACAAGAAGTTGACGACGATCCAAATAGATCTTCGCCTTAACCGGGCCCCCAACCACCCAAATGTGGCCTGAATTCCGATCCCTCCCTAACGCCAAATCCCTTCGACTCCCGCCGTCGTCCTCATCCTCAGCAGCCCCGGGCGGTAGTGGTGCCGCTAATCCGCCGCTCTTACCGCGCGGCAAGTTCCCCTACCTGACCAACGAAGGCCTACGACTGCTGTCGTCGCTCCTGGCGCTGAACCCCAATGCCCGTCCGTCGGCCAAGCAGTGTCTGGCCCATCCGTACTTCCGGGAAGACCCCCGGCCCAAACCCAAGGAGATGTTCCCTACCTTCCCATCCAAGGCGGGCCAGGAGAAACGGAGACGACGGGAGACCCCCGAGGCGCCGAAGCGCGGCCAAGAAGCCCCAAAGTTGGATTTCGCGAGCGTGTTTGGGGGTGCACAGGCGGGTGGTGATGGTCCGGAGGCCGGGGCTGGCTTTACCTTGCGCCTGGGGTAGTGCTCCCTTGGCTGTGAAGCGTGTACTTTTACGATTGGACTATATATAGAGCTACGCCTCGTGGGTGTGACAGACTTGGTAATCCCTTTACGAATTTCAAAGCCATCATCTGGAAGGCTTCCAGGTCGCGACCTGGAGACATAATCGTTGGTTCTAAGGCATAAAAGTTGTGGAACAAATTTAATGGAGCGAAGAGGAAGGCTGTTCTAAGAAACCTGCTCCCTAGTTCATGAGCCTCAAACTTTGGAGAGTCAATTGAGCGGTGTATGTAAAAATATGGTAGAGTCGCCTGGTCCACCAATAAATAAGTGGCAATGCGAATTAAGAATTAAGATCTTCTGGATGAAAAATAGTACCTCGCAGGATAGCCGGAGACATACTCGTCAGTGGAGTCACTGGCTTCGCGCTCGGCGTGGGCAAATCGCGGACCCTGTAATTGTATGGCTGATCTCGGGCCCACGATCTCGGGGATCCCTTGAGCCCTGGTCGACGAATGGCGATCAAGCCCAGGCCCACTATATAAGCAGCCATCGCCAGTGAAGCTCCTCTCGGACTTGAGTGCATTATTATCACGGTCGGGGCGGATATCGGGTGATTTGTCGACAAGGAAGTACTCGTCTCTGAGGGCGAGAAGTGACGCCAAATCGTCGGTATCAATGGTGGACCATGGCTCCTCAAACACCTGCTCCATTTCTGACATAAACCGTTGCTCTTCATTCTGGGTAAACTCCCCCATGATCTCTTCCATTGGCGGACCGACTCCAGTTTGCGCTTGCTCATCCATACCAGTAATGGAAGCAGGAGCGGCCTCGTGACCTACATGTGCCGGCCCGTCAGGATCCGCTGAGCGGTTAATTGCCACATCTATCTGCGGCTTCGCATTCATCGTGTCCTCAAGGAACGGCGGAATTGGTGTGTTGCCTTCACGCTCGCAAGGCTCACTGGCCCTTGTTGGTGTCTCCTCAGATTGGTTGAAACCATGGAACGGCGATTCGCTCTGCTGATCCACCTCGGAAGCATGGCTGTCTCTAATCCCCAATCGGTCGCATAATTTCAAGGACTCCATGGCGAAGTCGGCGTCTATTATCTGGGGCGTTTCAGACACACGATTAGTCTTGCACACGCGAGTCATGGCTGGCTTGTAACTGTTAATCGCATTGATCGACATCCGCAGTGCATTCGAATTGCGCGAGTTGGTGGGGGCTGAGCTTGAGGCAGTGTGAACATTGGGACTCGGGCGCGTAAAAGGCTGCAACTGTGTATCCAGATCAATGGGATCATTTGATGAAGGTCCCGGTGTAGCAAGATAGTGACTGCTGCGCTCCAGTTCACTGTCCCTTGGGCTGGGTTCGTCGGAATCGTTGGGCCTGACTGAGACAGTAGTGGTGGTGGTGGTGGTGCGAGGCTCTTGACCCGTCGCAGCCTCATCGGGCTCATTTAAAGCTTCTGGTGCATCATGGTTCCCCTGGAACGCTGTGGTTTGCAACCTCGCGGTATGTCCATGTTGTGATCCCGTCGAGTATCTAGTAACAGCGAGAACCGCCTCGGAGCGACAATGACGCACAGTCGAACCGTTTAAAAAATTACTATCTGCTTCACATTCGACATGAATTGGTAGTTTCTGCAGATAATTGCCGATGTCGCCATTTGGTTCCGAAGGATATTTGCAGCTGATGCGTTGGAGGTCGGCTCCGAAATCAACATCTTCTGCAGTGCTAGCCTCGGACACCGTGGATGAGTAGAACGTTCTCTGCTGATCCAGCGAGTCTTTTGCCGAGTCCGCCGAGGACCAGGCGCTGGGGTTGCCGGTGCGAACAGGTGGAGGTCCATTGGATCGCCGACGTATCCCCAACCTCAGCGCAAGTAGTCCTAGATGGGCTCTTCGAAGAGATCTTCTGGGCAGGTCCTGTATCCAACGACTTGTTCTTGGCGAAGCTGTCTGCTGGGAGAGATCACAATCATCCTCCAGCCATGGCGAGGCGATCACATCAGGGTTGTGTCGCGGATCCCGCGGGTTGAAAACTGGGTAGTGAATACTTTCCTCACATGCTGGCGAGGGGGCGGTAAGCCGTCGTATGGCAGCCCTAAACACTTAGCACTCCTCCTGATATTGTCGAGGCAGAGGCATACCTGTTCCTGCGGCTGACGGGGTAGCAGAGGGTAAAAGAGAACGATGACGCCGGGCGACGTCTGTTGTTTCCATATGTCGAGTCCGGTGCGTCCATTGTTCCCTCAATTGATGTCCTTTCAAGAAGAAACCCCCAAGAGAAGTTGGAATAGAGCCCGCCGTGTCTTACCAAGCAGTGCCAGAAAGTCCGATGCTTGTCGTCGATTGTAAAGACGAGGTCCGGAGTTTTCCTGAATGGGATCTATTCAAAGGGCAACGCAGATTGAGGCGACGACCAGACAGGCCGAAGGAAGCCATAACAAACCCGCCACGCTGTCCGACAGGCGCATTTGCAATGTCGGACAGAGGCAGGTGTTGGGGTGGGAAGTGCCTTCCTTCCTGGCCATGACAAATGAATTGAATGTTGCACAGACGAGAGGCGAACAGAACAGCCTGTATTGCAGCTACCCGATCATCTCGAAGAGTTGGGTTCCTTACTTAGGATTTGAATCGGTCGCAAGGATGAGACTGTGATAAGACATCCTGGGCCTGAAGCTCTTGACAGAAATCCCATCAGAGTCCATCGGGGGTAGGGGAAAGTGTCAAGTGCTCGAAGTGTATGTAAATAGAAATAGAAATAGAACTAGAAATAGAAATGCCGGGAAGCGGAGCCCGCGCCGGAGCTCCAACTTCCCAATCCGAGGATTCAATGCTTTCCTCCGCGCTTTAATTCAGCTCGACCTGCGACTCTCCCTCAACATTTGTATTGACTCCCTCCGTCAACTTGTTCTCTCCACTAGGGCCTGCATACCCGGTATATTCTTATACACTTGACTCGAGTCAAATACTCGAGCATTTTCTTGGTCGGTCGGACCTTCAATCGGTCTTACTACCTTCCATCATGGCTGCCGGAAAGGCTGCCGCCGACTTCAATGCGATCATCCAAGCTGGTAAGCTTTTTCATCGTTCAGTGCTATCAATTCACCAGCCTAGATACTCGAGCTAAAGTCTGCCTCAAGATCGCAAAAGAAAGCAGAACGAAAACCTTGCAAACCAGCTACTCGGTAAGAACCGACAAACAAATGGGGGCGTTGCAAAGGGCGCAAAGAAGACACAAGATGCGAAGCCAGGCAGCCTCGCCAGTCGCATCGGTGTAGCCAAGGTAATTATCAACCGAACGGTATCGCGCCGACTTCATTGGTTGAATCAAAATACTCATTATTCATCGATTCATTCCAGCGCCCGACGTCTTCGCCCGCGAATCCTAGAACAAACCCCAAGCCCATCATTCACCAGGCCCGCCCCAAGGCGCGTCAGACCGATCGACCTGGCGCAAAGCAGCGCCGTCCCGACGAGCAGCGCCTGCTCTCTGCACTCCTCCCAGACAGCGGACAAGCAACCGTACGAGGCAATAAGGTGGGGATGACCATCAAGGGCGCTGGCTCAGGACCTTCCGTGGTAGTCGGCAGCAATTTTGCACCGGGGACCACCGCAGCCGACATTCAAGCGGCTCTTGAGCCCGTGGCCGGCCCAGTCCTCAGCTGCTGGGTGATAACGCAGCACCCCGCAGTGTCGGCAGAGATCACCTTTGCCGAGAGACAGGGCGCGGACAGCGCGATTGCCAACTTTCACAACCAGAGGGTCAGTTATATCCACGTTTCTTTCTCAGCCTGACACTAATAAATGGCTAGGCTGATGGCCGGATCATCTCGATGCGCCTGAAACCCCTGAGCCTGGGAGCCGATAACGGTGCCACCAACTACCAGAACCCACAGAGCCCCTTCAACAACCTCCGGGAGCAAGCTGATCGAGACCGCCGCTCGAACCGCTCCGGTGACACGACGATTCGAGACGGAAACTACGGGTTCACCGAGCAGAACCAAGCAGTCGAACCACACAGACCGCGGGGCAACAACCGCAGATGGAATAACAGGGGCTATCGTAACGGGCCCCGAAACGGCGGAGCCTCGAACCAGGACACGCAAGAGACAGGTCTCTACAGTGACCAGATGATGGTGGACGCGCCACAGCAGAACCCACAATTCCAGGGCAGGCGCTATCACCGCTGAGCCGTCAGCGAAATCTATCTACGTCACCTAAATGCCGGGGGAAAATGTATACATCGGGGAAATTGAGTAGAATCTACGGGTAGAACAGAAACATGTAAACTAAATCTCATTTAATCCAAATCAAGCTCATGCCCATTTCCGGAAAGCGTTGATAATCGCCCGATAAGGCCAGGACACAATCACGTGCAGCGGAAGTTTTGCGGAGAAGTTGGAGAAAGCGTCATGTCTATCTTAGCAGCATTGCTTTAATGATTGCTCGTCTCTCATATCAACCCTAATGGAATTCTGCCTGGGGTCCTACGATCGAAACAATTGACCCCTCCTCCCGCAACGGAGCTCACTCCTCGCACCCACCATAGTGTAGGACGGTGCGCGCAAGATGCAGCAAGCAACCGGGCGTGTTCTGACGCATCTCCGAGCGCTCAGAAAACGCGCAACGCAGACGCAGACTCTCGTCCTGTCCGCACGAAGATGTCAATCCTCATTCGACAACAACCGCCAATGGTCGACCCCTCTTGCCCAGACCCTGGCTAACGCCATGAAGGTAGATAGCGTTTTTTGTTCCAAGACAGCCCATCTTCCCTCCCCCCAGCGCCCCCCAATATGCTCGCGCCCAATTCGCACCCTGAAACACGCACTGTTGATAGGACTAACGCACCCGTTCCAAAACTTATAGGTCACGGGCCCCATCCCCATCGCGGCTTTCATGCGCCAAGTCCTTACCTCCCCGGAAGGAGGATACTACTCTACCCGGCCCGCGGGTGAGGGCGAGGTCTTCGGAAAGAAAGGCGACTTTGTGACCTCGCCGGAGATCTCGCAGGTGTTCGGCGAGCTGGTCGGGATTTGGACTATTACCGAGTGGATCGCGCAGGGGCGGACAAGAAGTGGGGTGCAGCTCATGGAGGTTGGGCCGGGGAAGGGGACTTTGATGGACGATATGCTGAGGGTGAGTTTGTCCCCACCACTACATCGGGTTGCCGAAGTGGTGCTGCGGGGTGTGTGTGTAAGGAGTGAGAGACGGACTAGATCGCTAACGATAGGTGACTGTTTGTGTCCCATACAGACATTCCGCAATTTCAGAAGCTTTGCGTCGAGCATTGAGGCGATATATCTGGTCGAGGCGAGTTCGACGTTGAGAGAGGTTCAGAAGCAACTGCTCTGCGGCGGGGATGCCGCGATGGAGGAAACGGACATTGGCCACCGGAGTGTGTGCAAGTACTTCGACGTGCCGGTTATCTGGGTGGAGGATATACGGTTGCTGCCGCATGGTAAGGATGCATTAGTCCCCTCCCTCCCTCCCTTCCTTTCTACTGTTCTAGGTATGTGTGCCATACTGACTTGATATCCCATCTTGGATTGTGTGTGTGTTCAGAGGAGAGTAAAACGCCCTTCATATTCGCACACGAGTTCTTCGACGCGTTACCCATCCATGCCTTTGAGTCCGTGCCCCCGGCACCGGAGAACGAGCCGAAGGACGAGGTGATGACGCCCACGGGCCCTGCGAAGCTCCGGAAACCATTGAAGGCCGCCAATGTGCCGCAGTGGCGGGAGCTGTTGGTGACGCTCAATCCCAAGGCGGTGGAGGAGAACATCGAGGGAGAACCCGAGTTCAAGCTGACGCTGGCCAGGGCGTCCACGCCGTCGTCCTTGGTCATCCCTGAAATCTCGGAACGGTATCGTGCTCTGAAGTCTCAGCCGGGCTCCACGATCGAGGTCAGTCCGGAGAGTCGGATCTATGCGTCTGACTTCGCAAGGCGGATCGGCGGCGCGTCAGAACCGCCTCGCACGGCCACGAAGAAGGGTGCTACTACTGCTACTGGTGGGGAAACGCCGGCTGCGGCGAAGCGTGTGCCTTCCGGTGCAGCGCTGATCATGGACTATGGGACTCTTGCTACGGTGCCCATCAACTCGCTTCGTGGAATCCAACACCATCAAACTGTGCCGGCACTTTCGGCGCCGGGACAGGTGGATGTTAGTGCCGACGTGGACTTTACTGCGTTGGCTGAGGCGGCCATCGAGGCCAGCGAAGGCGTTGAGGTTCATGGACCGGTTGAGCAGGGTGATTTCCTGCATGCCATGGGGATCGCGGAGCGGATGCAGCAGCTGCTCAAGGGCGTGACGGATGAGTCAAAGCGGAAGACGTTAGAGACTGGCTGGAAGAGACTGGTTGAGAAAGGCGGCGGTGGGATGGGCAAGATCTACAAGGTCATGGCCATCGTTCCGGAAAATAATGGGAAGCGCCGTCCAGTTGGGTTCGGGGGAAATATCATGGCATGAGCCATTGTATACTAGAAGCTCAAAAAAAAGTGTATATTAGTCTCCACCGTACACTGCACTACGGTTGGTTAACCTCAACGATTTTCGGTCTTGTAGAAATATTCTCGTTTTAAACCGAGTGTCTCCGTATATCGCTCTGATCTCTATAATAATTCATGACCCTCAGTCCCCACTATATAATCTAAAACAACGAAGCCACAAGGGTATATACTTAAAAACACCGCGTCATCCCCAGGAAAAGAAAACGAAACAGACCCTTAGTACTCTCGCCAGATATCTTCCACATATGCCTGGGTCAACCGAGTGTCCTTTCCGTACTTCTCCTGCCACTGCACGAAGCCTCCTTCCAGGACAAAAACCTTCTGCTTTTGGCTTTCCTCGGCGCCGAGCACACGCTCTCTCTCCCGGGCATAACGGAGCGCCGCGGAGGGACCGCGCTGCTGGCTGAGCGCACAGTGAAATACCACCTGCTCCTTGTCTTTCAGCGTGCGGACGAGTTCGGGCATGCGCACGTCCAGCGTGGAGCTAGGGACCCAGGTGGAAGAGGAGATGTGCCCGCCGACGTGGTCTAAATCCATTCGTGTAAGTCTCTATGCGGCCTACTTGATAGCATGAGGGAGGGACGTACCAGAGTCACGGACGTCTACGATGGCCAGATTGCTGGGGGAAGTGGCCGCGAGGAGGAGGGCCGAGAGAGCATCGCGGCTCATGCGGGGAAGAGTTGCGATTGTGATGGAGGACATTTTTTATATCTGCGTGGAAGTATCTTGAGGTGGACTTCGTTGGATTACAAACAACTAAAGTCGGCAAGCTTAGACTTGTCCTGACTAGGTTGCTCCCAGATCCGATATAAATGAGGGGTAACGAGTGATGTAGTCTGTCGAGTCAGTTGGGATCTCAAGTCAATTGTTCGAAGTATGCCGCAGCTCACGTGACACGAAGATTTCCGAGCGGGAAATTCCAGCGGATAGCCATTGAGACTCCCTTCTCCGCGATCTTGCCTCCGATAATCACTCCCTCTTGTCTCAATTGGAGCGTGCTCCTCGCGCTCATCTCAGCGGAAACACCTTTGATATCGGTTTTTGTGGTGCCCATCCCACTACGACCATCAGAAGCTCTAGCCATGGAGATGCGTACCCTGTCGCAGTGTCTTCGATCGGCTGCCCGGCCGACGACGACGACGACGACGACATCCCTTCTGTACACGAAGCAATTCGCCAGACAGTCCCTCCCAGCGATCCGTTACAACTCCTCCTCTTCGTCGTCGTCGTCGTCGTCATCGTCCTCATCATCCTCCTCTTCCTCATCTTCGCCCGCTTCACCCTCCACGCCGTCGACCACATCCAAATCCGCATCCGCCTTCCCCCCGGCCTCACAATTCGCCTTCCCGAACCGCAAACCGCAAGGAGCCTTCGGCGGCGGCGGCGTCTCTTCATCGCCCAAGCCCACCGCTCACAACTCCAGCGCCGATACGGCCTTCGACGAGATCTTCAGCAAGCTCCGACTGGGCGGCCGCCACGCGCCGTCGAACGATCCCTCCGCCCCGGGCGCCGGCCCGCTTGCCAGGCTCTCGGCGCAGGAGAACTCGCGCGTGGCTCCGAAGGTCAATTTGAAGCTGGGGCCCGCCCTCGGCCGGCAGATCTTCATCGAGCCCGACCGCGGCAACGATCTGTCGTCCGCGTTGCGGATGCTGGCCGCCCGCCTGGGCCAATCCAAGTTGAGGAAAATGGTCAAGGATCAGAAGTTCCACGTCCGGAAGGGACAGCTGCGCAAGGAGAAGCGGAGTGCTCGGTGGAGGAAGCTGTTCAAGTTTTCGTTCCAGGACACCCTGCGGCGGGTTGAGAAGATGAGAGCTCAGGGTTGGTAAGAGATTTCTTAGATTCCTCGGTGTTCTGTTCTGCGGGGATTGGAGAGGCGGATGGATAGTGGGGGTTTTCCCCGGGGGGTGTATATAACGAGATGCGGCCATGGGTTTTCCATCAAGGAGGAAAGAAGAGGTTTTGTTTTTGGGAGATAGGGATGTATTGAAGCAACGATCACAATAGAGGATTTGTTGCGCGAGGGGGAAAAGGGTGTTCATTTTGCTCTGTATACTAAATCCGGAGATTGTTTCATATTGCTATGGTTTGTTTTTTGTTTTTTTTCTTCTTTTCTTGCTATATCTCCTTTGTTTTGAATTAAATCCGATCGTGTCCAACAACAGAATTATCACAAAAGAAGATCTATCCACCCTTTTTTTATCTATCTATCGGTATCTGTGGTCTATGTCCATTCCATGCCGTGCAATAAAGCTATTTTGCACCAACCCGTGATTGTGCATAAACCCATATACAATACAGACATTTTCCAATTGCAGCCAAAAAACAAAGATCCAAGCCAGTTCAGTCCCTCTTCCCACTACCTGTATACCCTCCATACCCAAACCCAGCCCCGGCAGCCCCATTGCCAGCCCCAGTCGAAGAATAACCACCATAACCATTCATCTTGCCGCCGTTCCCATACGTGATCCCCACGGCTCCGTTACTCACCTTCCCTCTGGATGACGAACTCACCCCGAGGATCCCTTCCCCCCTCCGCCGCCTTATCCCAAAAGAGCCTCCGTTCCTCTCCCAATACAAAGCCACGACCGCACCCACCCCAGCAGCCATCACAAAGAACACCAGTCTCGAGAAGAAACCCGCGCCGTCGCCCCCGTTTCCTCCTCCCCCCATTGTACCAGACGCCCCCAGCCCCGAGGAAGGCCACCCAATGCCCCTCCCGCCTTCGACCCAGCTAACATGAAACGAGAATGTCAACGGCTCCCCGCGGATGACTTTCGTCCCATGGCCCGCGGTCCAGGGATCCTTGGCTGCTTCCACCACAGCCGCAGACGCCGCCTGTTCCTCATCGCTGGTATGTTTCTTCTGCATCTGTCGTTGAATAATAACATCGAACTCCGGAACCGAGTACGCCGTGCCCGCGACGACGTAGCCCGCGGCTGCCGCCGCCTTGCCCTTACCCTTCTTTGTCTTTTGTTTCGGATTCTTTGAATCCGCCGCGATATTATGCGCGAGGAGGTTCATATCCGTCCAAATGTGCAGATGGCTCCGCTGAAGCGTGCCCTGGAGCGCGAAGGTGATGGGCGTGTAGGACGGGCCGTCGGTGTCGATCTCAAGCTCGTGGCTCCCCGCGGCTTGGCCGTCGGCCTCAGTCTCGGGCGTGTTGAGGAGATGCTGGGCCAAGGGGGCGGTGGGCACGCGACAGGTCATGGGCACGTCCGAGTGGACGTAGTATTCGAGGAGGTGATAGAGCTCATCCGGGAGCGAGGCGATGGTGCAGTTGACGGTCTCGGAGACGCCGTAGTGGAGAGCGAGCGGGAGGGAGGTCTCGTTGCATGTTGGGAAGGGGATGTATTGTAGGTGTCCTTGATTGTCGGTAATCTGCAGAAATTGGGCGTCAGCAAACTGTTTTCGCTTTTCAAGATAATGGTGGCGATGTATTGAGGAAGAGGGGGAGTGGATGATGGTGGTGGTGATGATTTACATGCTCGCCCGAGTCGCTTTAAGGACAATGTGATCAGTATGTTTGCTTTTCTGTTTCGAGCAAGATTGCTAGTGAAGGAACTCACATGGTCCGATTGAGACAGGTCACTGGTATGGCTTGTCCATAACTGTACCCGTTTCTACCGTTGGACGGGGAATCGCTGCCCCCCGCAACGGAGGTCTGAAGAAAGACGGAGAATAGAAGGCCATACTGCCAGAGAGTGTGGGCGGTGCTGCCCCTGAAGGGGGATGGCATTGTTGCTGAGGAATGTTATACTTGCGCACGCCGACAAGGCGTCTGGGCGACTCGCTGCTAGCGATAAGGAGGAGCGAGGACGGAGAAAGAACAGCAAGACAGAGTGTTGGTTGTGGTCTACGGTTATGGGGGCCGCCGCCGCAAGGGAACTAAAACTTGGTTAATTCGCCGTCATCCACCACATCTCACTCATATTGTCACTACACTTGCTGTTCTTTCGAAATTCTATGGTATGCCTCTTCCATTCGTGTTAGTGCGAATTGCGGAATCAACAACACCAATCTAGAGCAGTTCACTTCTGCACTTCTGTCTATACACATATACGAGAGGAGAGAGATCCCTACATTGTGCACTGTCACTATACTATCCCTAGTAGCCTCACACCTACTATACTCATTTGAATGGAAAGTTATTAAATTATAAAGTCACTCATGGCTTCATGAACATGTACAACTTGTCTTGTACAACTTGTTTTTGTCCTCCAAGCATATGCATCCCACAGCATCCGATTCATTCCCTTATGCCAGGTTGGCCTTCTTCTTGAAAGCAAGGAGCAGGCCGCTGGTCGAGGCATCGTGGCCAGCACCGGCGCCGTCAGTCTCCAGCTCCTGCTGAATCTTCTTGGCCAGAACCTTACCCAACTCGACACCCCACTGGTCGAACGAGTTGATGTTCCAGATGGCACCTTCGGTGAAGGTAACGTGCTCGTAGTAGGTGATCAAAGCACCGAGAGTGGAGGGAGTGATCTTCTGGGCCAAGATCGAGGTGGTGGGACGGTTGCCCAAGAAGGTCTTGTGAGGCACCAGGTTCTCGGGGGCACCCTCAGTCTTGACTTCCTCAGGGGTCTTACCGACCATGAGAGCCTCGGACTGCGCAAGGAAGTTGGACGCAAGCATGCGCTGGTGCTTACCACCCTCGACGGGGTTGTGCGACTCGGCAGCCATGATGAAGTCCGAGGGAATGAGCTTGGTGCCCTGGTGCAGCAGCTGGAAGAAGCTGTGCTGTGCGTTGGTGGCCGGCTCACCGAATAGGATAGGGCCAGTGGTGTACTTGACGTACTCGCCCGTGCGGGTGATCGCCTTACCGTTGCTCTCCATAGAAAGCTGCTGCAGGTAGGCAGGGAAGCGGTGTAGGTACTGGTCGAAGGGAGCAACCAGGTGGGTCTGGGCACCGAAGAAATCACTGTACCACACGCTCAACAGACCACCGATAGCGGGGATGTTCTGCTCCAGGGGAGTCTCGCGGAAGTGCTTGTCCATGGCGTGGGCACCAGCCAAGAACTGGTGGAAGTTGTCGAAACCGATGTAAATGGCAACGGACAGACCGATGGCACTCCAGACAGAGTAGCGGCCACCAACCCACGATTCGAAACCAAACATGTTCTTCTTGTCAATACCGAACTTGGTGACTTCAGCCTCGTTGGTGGAGAGAGCAACGAAGTGCTTGGCGATGTGAGAATCCTCCTTAGCGGTCTCGAGGAACCACTTCTTCGCGGTGTTGGCGTTGGTGGTGGTCTCGGCAGTGGTGAAAGTCTTGGAGGCAATCAGGAACAGGGTGGTCTCGGGGTCGGACTCCTTAAGGGCCTCAGCAATGTGAGTTCCGTCGATGTTAGAGACGAAGTGCAGCTTCAGGTCGGCAGCACCATAGGGCTTCAGGGCCTCGGTCACCATGACGGGACCACTGGATTCCGCAGTTAGTATTGTGTCTGACGCCCTAGTCGAGAAACCAGAGTTCACTTACAGATCCGAACCACCGATACCAATGTTGATGATGGTGTTGATCTTCTTGCCAGTGTAACCCTTCCACTCACCGCTACGGACCTGCTCGGAAAACTCCTTCATGTGCTCAAGGACAGCATTGGTGTCCTCAACAACGCTCTTGCCATCCACCTGCATGGGTTCATTGGAGACATTGCGCAGGGCGGCGTGGTAGACAGCACGGTCCTCAGTGAAGTTGATGTGGTCACCCTTGAACATGGCATCACGGAGCTCCTCAATGTTGGCTTCCTTGGCCAGCTTGACCAGGAGAGCCAGGGTCTCTTCAGTAAGGAAGTTCTTGGAGAAATCGAAGAGGATTTCAGTGTTGTCCACGGTGTTGTTGAAGGTACGGCTGAACTTCTCGAAGCGCTGGGGATCCTTCTGGAAGCATTCCTTCAGGACAATGTTACGACCCACGGTGTTGTGGTGGTCCTGGAGCTCCTTCCAGGCGGAAAGCTCGGTGGCTTGAGAAAAGCTAGGCATGGTGATGGGAGCTACAGCAATTGTGGACGTCAGTGCGGGGCTCGAAGCAGTGTATGGAAAGTAGAAAGAGCTACAGCTAGCTCACGAAGGAATTGGGGGGGAGGTTCAAAAGCTGATGCATACCTGAGTAGTGAAGATGGGAGATGGGATTTAGTAGTGAGGAAGTGAAGGAGAGGACAGGAGCTGAAGAAGCAAAAGAGGAGAGAGAGAAGATAGACAGCGGGAAGCGCGGACAGGATGACAACAGAGAAGGAGCGAAGATGTCGTAACCGGCGTGTTGCCCTCCGTCCAGAGAGGGGCTGCCGTGGGGCACTCCCGGTCAAACAGGAAACTCCCCTCCTTCACCCCCACCAACGTTTCTCACCAGTCGCACCTGCCGCCTTGCCGGCTGTGACGCTTCAATTTATCCGATATTTCCATTGCCGTGGACAAATGATTTGCGATATACCGTCAGCTGGACTAACTATTCTATGGAGATCTTTGTCATCGCTGTGCTTCTAGAACGATGCTCCCGAAGGTCTCGGATATTAATCTCGAAGGAATGACCGGCTACCGTCTGGATACGAGCCTTTCACGCCAATTCACCTGAGGCACTTCCGGAGGAATGTTGTCCGATCAATGGTCATCAGAAGTTGAGGGTCCTTTCATGCTCTAATCCAAGCTTCCGGGAAATCCTCAAGATGCTGGTCACATCCCGGGAAATGCTTCCTTTCTCAGCCACATTGAGAGATGTCGCTCTACCTATGTTCAGCCACGGTCAATTGACAGACCTCAATGGGAGTTGAGGCTTCAGGACATCGATGACTATTTCGCATATTCAGTTGAGAGATCAACATGGCCCATTCACAACAGATAGGTTAGCCTAAGTCATCTTTACTATCATATGCGAAGGTTCAGTTGTAGAAAGTAAAGCTTTGCTCGAGGCGTGGTTATTGAAGCATTATCTGCTTGTAGAAAAACTGCAAGTAGAGGGTAATGACAACAACTCACTTAAGCAATTCAATGAGCATGATATCGATAATCAGCACCATTGCCTGCGTAGCGACGATAGTGACGATCAATGCTTTTGCATGAGCCAGTTTGACACCTGAGGCCCAAATTATGGGCCTGAAGCGTCAGGCTTCCAGAAAGGGCCACGCACAGACCACCATTCTGATCGAGCCTCGATCAAATCCGCCGCAAGTCCTCTATCTTCTCCATCCGCACCAAATCTCCTTATTTCTCATTCGACCTTTGAACCGCGCTCTGCGGCAGTTGTGTTGCTTTTGAATCCGGTTCAGGAAATTTGTCTTGAGCGTCAATACACCATTCAGTCTTGTCCTCAGCTACGTATCTCGCGTCTTAAATCTTCTGCAGCTACCGCAACGGAAGCTGCGAACACGCTGCAATGTACAATCCTTACCAGCGTATGTCCTTGAACTGCCGTCCCCTTCACTTTCTGTGACGCGCATACTAACCTTGCAAAGCCCCTGGCCTTTATGGCCGCCCACCAGATTTCGGAAGCTACCCTGGAGCACCTCCGGGCATGGGTAAGGCCATCATCAATTCTTATGATCGCTGTCGCATCACATATTGACTTCGTTAGCTCCTCCACCAGGTATGGTCGCACCTGGAACGACTCCTCCGCCGGGGATGCAGCAGGCCAACGCGCAACAGCCCGGTCGACCAGCTGGCTTCCCAGCCAACTTCCAACCTCCCCCCAACATGCCCAATATCAATTTCTCTGCCCCGGTCATTCGTCTCGGAACCTCAGGCCCGTCCAAATCAGCTACGCCGGATACCAGTAAAGAGCGCGGTGGAGATGCTCCCGGCCGACGGGCCGGCTTGGGCTCTTCCAGCTTAGAGTCTCAGCGTCAGAACGTTCGCGATGCGATGATGCAACTTCAACCTCCGACGCGAGAGGAAATCGTTCGGACCATCTTTGTGGGCGGCATTACGGAAGGCGTGGCCGGGGATGAAGGCGTGGAGAGAATCTTGCGCTCAGCGGGAACCCTTCGGCGCTGGATTCGCGCCACCGATGCAGATGAGAAACCATGCAAATTCGGCTTTGCAGAGTACGAGGACCCTGAAAGTCTTAGCACTGCTGTGGAAGTGCTAAAGGATGTGCAAGTGCCTGTGAAGAGACAGTCACCGCGGGAGGGAGATGACAAGGAAGAGCACGAAGTCGAAAAGAGTACTCTACTGGTACGTTGCCTGCTACTCAAGATGTCTAACTGTACTGACTGTGTCTTTCTAAAGGTGGTTGTTGATGAGAGCTCATTGAAATACCTGGAGCAATACGAGTCCGGCAAGGGAGAGCAGGATCCAGCCGAACGTGAGGCGCGGATAGGTGCTGCACGCAGCACCCTTGAGGCCGTCTTGTCGGATCTGTGTCACCCCACTGCACCCACACAGAAGGAAGATGCATCGACTATCGATCGTGAAGGCGACACCGCTATGAAGGATCCGGAGGGACAGAACGACGGAACATCCGCGGAAGTCGTTACTATTCCAATCACAGTGGAGGATGAGCTTTCCGATATTCCTCCTGAGATGAGAGAAACGGTCGCGAAGGAAATTGCTGCCTTTCGTGAGCGTAGCAATCGCCGGGACATCGAGCGGTTGAAGCGGGAGGAAGAGATCGAGTCTATGGAGCGAGCACGCAATTCCGGATCCCGCATCAATCGACTGGCCTCACCTCCTCTTTCTGCCCCTAGTGGGCCTGCTGCTGGCGCCAATGGAGTTCCTTTGGGCCCTCGCGACCGCGGTGTGCCTTCTGGGCCAAAGGCATTCGGAGTTCAAGTCCCCAAGGACTACCAGAAGGGAGTTTCTTTCGTCAACGGAGGTAATATCAATGGGGCTACAACCGTCTACATCGACCGGGAAGATGAAGACTCGGATGCTAGCGACGAGGAACTAGAGCGCCGTCGTCAAGAAAAGAAGGAGTCCGAGCGTGAGAAGCAGTTCCTCGACCAGGAACGCCGCTGGTTGAACCGTGAGCGCAGCCGAACTGCTGCTTTGGAACGCGAGAAGAAGCGAGACAAGGAAGAGGCAGCCCAAGTACAGGAGGTGCGCGATGAGATGGACAAGCGGTATCGGGAATGGAATGATGATATTGAGGCCAACCGCAAGTTGGAGGACTATTATGCCGATCGGGGTGCATGGCTCCGCAGCCGGGCGGCATTCCGAGCCCGGGAGGTCAGCATGGACGAAGCGGATCGGGCGGCGGAAGAAAGAGAACGGGCCCGGTCCGTGCAGCAACGGGAGCAGGCCCGCGGCATGGCAGACGACTTCCTCGCTCGGCAGGCCGAAGAGCTGGAGTCACGTACTCAGGCTCCCCGCGAACCCCAGCGCTTCAAGCTTTCTCTCGGCGCAGCCGCGCAGAAGGCTCAAGCTGCCACCTCCCGCCGCACTATCGCGGAGGTCGAAGGCTTGCTGGAAGACGAAGAGGAGCCACAGGCCACCGCCAGACGACCTCTTATCCCCATCAAGTTCGACAGTGCTGCCGAAGCGGCTGGCCTGTCCGACGAGGAACGCGCACAAGTCGCCCGACAACTGGCTGCGGAGATCCCCACGGACAAGGAGGGACTTTGGAACTGGGACGTCAAGTGGGAGTTCGTGGACGAGAGTGTGGTCACCGAACAGCTCAAGCCTTTTGTGGAAAAGAAAATTGTCGAATACCTGGGCGTGCAGGAACAAATGTTGGTGGAAGTGGTCGAGGAACATGTTCGAAAGCATGGACAACCTCAAGAGCTGGTGGAACAGCTGGAGGAGGTAAGTTGTCTATCTGAGATTCGTTGTTTGATCTTAACTAACTGGGTAACCACTAGGCTCTCGACGAAGAGGCAGAGGTGTTGGTCCGGAAGCTATGGCGGATGATTATCTTCTTCTCGGAGAGCGAAAAGAGAGGTCTTTCCGGTTAGACGAAGGATTTCATTATTTTCTTGGGGTCCAGTACTGCCATGAGTCACAAAATGAACAATATGAACTGGATCGTGGTGTATTCGTGCTAAAACTACTTCTTGCGCAAGGGCGTGTTGCATTGCATTGCATTCCCGCATCTGTCCCAACCTACTTTGTAACTTATATCATGCTGCAGCAGGTTCCTGTTCCCTCGTAACACATCAAGCTCATCTTAGATTTACTCTTCCCCCACGCCAGAATATCCACTGACAGTCACGCGGGCCTCCAGGCAAAAAAATCACTCACTTTAAGGCCTGGATTGAAGTTGATTAAATCAAGAAGAGCTGTGAGTGGCGGAGAAACCCATCCCACGGCCAGCCACAATTCCTCCGCCAATCGGGCGGGGTTTCCCCACACGACGTGGAGGGGAAATGGGGGAAAGGCCAGTCCCCTCCCCCGCTATATAATCATCCATCGTCCCCTCGACCGGGGTTTCTTTTGCAATTCACAGACCTGGAATAATCCCAATTGACCCCGCCTCAATCAGACAAGATGGTCAAGATCACCAGTTTCACCACGCGGGACGTGAGGTTTCCGGTATGGCAGACCCTCGGACATGTTTACCCCTCTCTGTTTACTCTTTCCCTTCTCCCCCCCGCAGCATGCTAATCCACTTTACGTTCATGACAGACCTCCCTTGACAAGACCGGTTCCGATGCCATGAATGCCGCCGGTGACTACTCTGCCGCCTACTGTATAATCTACACCGATTCCGAATACGCTGGACATGGCATGGTAAGCCGATCGTCGCCTAGGCGAACCGAAACAAGCCCCCAAGACGAGACTAATCCTGAAGACAGACCTTCACAATTGGCCGCGGCAACGAGATCGTCGCCTCTGCCATTGAGCTTCTTGCCCCTCTCGTCGTTGGCAAGGACCTCGACGAGCTGACTGCTGATTGGGGCAAGACCTGGCGGTACCTGGTGTCCGACAGCCAGCTGCGCTGGATCGGTCCCGAGAAGGGTGTCATCCACCTGGCTCTGGGTGCTGTGGTCAATGCGCTCTGGGATCTGTGGGCCAAGACCCTTCAGAAGCCCGTCTGGCGCATCGTCGCGGACATGACTCCCGAGGAGTTCGTCCGCTGCATTGACTTCCGCTACATCACCGACGCGATCACCCCCGAGGAGGCCATTGCTCTCCTCAAGGAGGTCGAGGGCGGCAAGCAGGAGCGTATCAAGGAGGCCGAGCAGAGCCAGGCCGTGCCGGCCTACACGACCAGTGCCGGTTGGTTGGGCTACTCCGAGGACAAGCTCAAGGCGCTGCTCAAGGACAGTGTGGCCCAGGGCTACAAGCACTTCAAGCTGAAGGTTGGCGCGAACGTCGAGGAGGACCGCCGGCGGTTGGCGATTGCCCGTGAGGCGATCGGTTACGATAAGGGAAACATCTTGATGGTAGACGCTAACCAGGTATGTGTTACTTTTGCCCAGGTCAAAGCAAAAAAGCTCGAGTAACTAACCCACGGTGTGTCAAACCAGGTCTGGTCCGTCCCCGAGGCTATCGAGTGGATGCAGCAGCTCGCCGAGTTCAAGCCCTGGTTCATCGAAGAGCCCACCTCCCCCGACGACATCCTCGGCCACGCCGCCATCAAGAAGGCCCTCGAGAACACCCCGCACGGCCCCATCGGCGTGGCCACGGGCGAGATGTGCCAAAACCGCGTCGTCTTCAAGCAGCTCCTGCAGGCGGGAGCGCTGACCGTCCTTCAGGCTGACGCCTGCCGTGTCGGTGGTGTCAACGAGGTGCTGGCCATCTTGCTGCTGGCCCGCAAGTTCGGCGTCCCCATTGTCCCCCACTCCGGTGGTGTCGGTCTGCCCGAGTACACCCAGCACCTGAGCACGATCGACTACGTGGTGGTCAGTGGTAAGAAGAGTGTCTTGGAGTATGTGGATCACCTGCACGAGCACTTCGTGCACCCCTCCAGTGTGAAGGACGGCTACTATGTTACGCCTTTGGAGCCTGGATACAGTGTTGAGATGAAGCCCGAGAGTATGGATCAGTTCGCATTCCCCGGTGAGGAGGGCAAGAGTTGGTGGCGGACGGAGGAAGCCAAGACCATTCTGGAGGGTCCCCGGATTGTATAATTGATGGGTATGACATTTTACGAATGATTTTGTATATAGATCGCTGAAGCGAAATGAGAAATGTGTTCTTGTTCTTGGTCATTTAGTATACGATACCAAGCACGGCTTGAGTAGAATTGCCGAGGAGTGAAAGCGAGCAGATGGTCTAGCTGCGTATGCTGTGGGCGGACTGGAAAGAGCGGTAGAGATGGACTTCCTTCTTCTTGGGTATATAGGTCTGTTTTACAATCATGATAATACTAAGAATGGCGAGAGGCTCTAGACGTTCCTCGTAAATCTTCACCATGTCTAAGCTCACGGATAGAGCTGTAGATGAATTGTTCCAGATACACTCCCTTGCAGCAACAAGCATGCAACAAGTCATCGCCATTGAATGCCAAAGATCTTAAGCGCCTTTCCGACTCCAGGCTTTTCGCGTGCTTGCTCTAGAACGACTCGGGGGTGGCCTAAAAATGTCAGTCAATCCACCTATCCAATCTACCCCTATAAAAAGCACTCGCACTCACCTTTGACTTCCAGGGCAAGCAGCTGGTACTCCCACTCATACTGGTCCAAGGGCTTCATCATGTGCACGAACACGATACCGGTATTGAGAGGGCCCTCGACCTTTACCACGCAGACAGTCAACAATGTAATCCCGAACTGAACCCACCACTCCACGGGGAGAAACGACATACATGGAAATTCATCTTCAAATGTTCGCGGCCCATTCGATCCTGGAAAACCGACGTCCTGCGCGCACATGTATATTAGCATTTAGAACGTTATTCCTCGCAAAAGTACACGAGGTATGGTATGGGTATGTATGGCCTTACGCAATCGGTCGGTTCCGAGCCCATCGGCTCCAGGTACTATCCCCGTACGCCTTGATTTCCCTGCGATCACCCAGAAGATTCGTACACCGCGGGTCGTCCTTGATGCGCTCGACTGCCTTTTCAAACTGCCAGGTCTTGCTGTTGGGAGAGAAGACCTCGGTGTAGAGGAGGTAGAACACTCCACCCTGGTACATAAAGCTGTTTAGATTCGGCTCAGAAGACGCAGCAGGCGTAATGTGATTGTGCGAGCGACAGCCCAAAAAAAGAAAAACAGACTCACCGTCAACACGGCACCAGCGACGACCACGAGGAAGTTGACCGACTGCTGTGTCGCCCGCGCGACCTTCTCCCGGCCGCTCAGCTCCCCCCACTCGTACCGGCCATCGTCGGACAGGACTGTCACGTTCCTTCGTTTGGGGGTCGGGTTTGATCCGGGCCCTGAGGTCGCATAGTATCGCGCGAGGGCGGTCGTGCGGGGAAGCGCTGGACGCAGGAGGTGAGCGGCGGTGGAGGAGGCTCGGAAGAGGGCAGGGTTAGGTCGGAGGTGGGCGAGCATTGTGGTGGGCGGCTAGTTCAGCTGAGTACCAGTAAAGGCCTCATGGAACGAAGAGTGGCTGTTGTGGTAGAGAGGTGGTGAACATGGGCAGACGAAGCACAAGTTCGGAGGTTGTCTGCGCAATCTTTACTCTTCCCGCCGGGCAGAAATGAAGCAGGAAGCCATGGATTGGATGGATCCCATTCGGCGACGGCAAAGGCCGACTTGAATGGAAGAAGAAGCGTGTGGGGGTGCGGAATCGGAGTGGGTCACGTGCGAAAGGGCCCTGGCCTGGTTTCAGCCGCCGCCGACACTCGTATTTGCAATACGTCTGCCGCCCTGAGCAGAAGGGATGTACAGTACTGTAGGTGGTAGCTACGTCAAGGTATGATTTTCATGGATTACTATGAGGAACTCCTGTCAATTTTCTAGATGAGGGAGATATGTGGGAGTCATTTGAGTTACTGTTTAGCTGAGCCAGTGATTTTTTTTTTCTTCGAAGCTCGCTCTTGTTTGTTTGTATGCCTCCTGTGTTTGCCACAACGAGCAAGGAATGGTTGTTGCAGAAGTGCCACTAGCTTAAAGTGAAAAATACGGGGGGTGGTACTCAGTCCCAATCCGACCACGTTCGCTCGCTCCTCCCGGGCTGCTTTTTGGATCCTGTCGTTCTCCCTCATCTCCGACCGATCTCCCTCCCTACCCCCTCTCTCCCTTTGTCTTCGACATCTACTTGGATTCTGTCTCATATCCTGAGACTTTTCCTTCTATTCAACACCAGTCATCATGTCTGCCTCCAAGGCGGAGTCTCAAAAGATCTTTGAGAAACTCAAGCTCAAACCCGCAAACAAGGTACGCCGTACCCCTCCCCGCCTAGCAACCGATCTCAGTGCTGACACGATTCCGCACAGATCTGCTTCGATTGTGGCTCCAAGAACCCAACATGGTCGTCCGTGCCTTTTGGTATCTACCTGTGCCTTGACTGCTCAGCCCACCATCGTAACCTGGGCGTCCACATCTCCTTTGTTCGCTCCACGAACCTCGACCGTACGCAAGTCCTACCAACAATCCTATCGTGATGCTAACGACTGGCGCATAGAATGGCAATGGGAGCAGCTCCGGATGATGAAAGTCGGTGGAAACGAGTCTGCCACTAAGTACTTCCAATCGCATGGAGGGTCTGCCGCTCTGGCCAGCAAGGACACCAAGGTCAAGTACACATGCAATGCCGCCGTCAAGTATAAGGAGGAGCTGAAGAGACGGGCCGCTCAGGATGCGCAACAGTGAGTCTCTTGCATGCACATCACCTATAGCAATTCGTACAGTATGGGGTCTGATCGTACGCTCCCTCATTAGGTATCCCGAAGAAGTGGTGATCACCGATATCCCCGTCGGCACCTCGTCCAACGGCTCCAGCACCCCGGCCGGTGACGCTGATGACGATTTTTTCTCCTCCTGGGACAAGCCGTCCATCAAGCGGCCAAGCAACCCTCCTTCCCGCACGGGTACCCCTCCCGTTGTGAGTCGCACCGCATCGCCCTTCCTGAACTCGGGTGCCAACGGCTCGCGCTCCAAATCCCCGCTTTCCGCCTCCGATAAGGACAGCCCTGCTGCCTCTCCCGCGCCGGCCGCTATTCGGGCCAGTGCTGCTGTTCGCAAGACCTCCTCGACCGCAACTGCGAAGAAGGGCAGTGTGTTGGGTGCCAAGAAGGCCCCCAAGCTTGGGGCAAAGAAGATTGTTAGCGGTGCGGACATGATCGATTTCGACGAGGCGGAGAGAAAGGCCAAGGAAGAGGCTGAGCGCATCGAGAAACTGGGTTACGATCCCGAAGCCGAACGGGCTGAGGCTGAGTCCAAGGCTAAGGCCACCACCGCCGCCGCGCCGATTGCCTCCCCTACCCCTATCAACCCCTCGCGGACATCTCAGGAACGCAGCTCCGGTGATGTTGAGCGCCTTGGAATGGGCATTGGGAGACTGGGATTCGGACAGACTGTTGGCGCACCGAAGCCTCCTGCTCCGAAGAAGTTGGGCTTTGGCGCTGTTGCTACCAGATCTGCTGCTGATGGTTCGTTCTCCTGTGTATTCGTAGATGTAGTATGGGTTGCTAATAGTCTCACAGACGAGGAACTGAAACAGGCCAAGTCCAGATTTGGCACTCAGAAGGGCATCTCGTCGGATGAGTTCTTTGGACGGGATCGCTTCGATCCTAATGCCCAAGCCGAGGCCAAAGAGCGTCTTCGTCAATTCGATGGAGCCACTGCTATCTCCAGCAACACCTACTTCGGCCGCCCCGAGGACGATCTTCCCGCCGAGAGTGACACCTATGGAGACATCGAGAACGCGGCGAAGGACTTTGTGCGTCGGTTCGGTATCACAGCCGGTGATGATCTCGAGAACCTGACGCAGCTGGTTGGAGATGGTGCCGTCAAGCTACAGGGTAAGTCTTTGTTCTACTCACTCTCTTCGCAGGAAAATCATACTGACAAATTGTTGCTCTACAGGTGCTATACGCAGCTATCTTAACAGCTAAACGAGTCCTTTTTTGTCGTACCTAACGCCTTCAATTCCCCGCTTCTCGCACCCATCTTGATCTTTTTGTGTTAGCCAATTCTATCTTCGATCTCCTTCCACATGTGGCGTTTACATCCTCATGAACTTTCTATTCCCCAGATCCGTACCATTCCTAGACAGACAACTAACCCGGTCGACTTCCATCCGGACGTGCAGTGCTTCGCAGGCTGCTAGACCCCGTCATCACTTGATGCGGTGTAGATCAGACCGGCCTTTGCTCGTCAGTCGTTGCTTTTTTTTACTTTTCCATTGTTCAAAATTACCGTCAACAATGTTTCGCTACTAGCTTCGAAACGCTCCTTGGGATTCTTGTATATTCGTTGCATATAAGTAGTGTGCTTGCGAGTATTAGGAAACTGCATCAATGTAAACGCCTAGCATTGGGTTCTTTCGATTCATGGGATGCAACCGTGCTAAGAACAGTCTCGGTCTATATAAGCCGGAGCCACCAGATACAAATCCTATACACAAACAAATTTTTTTAGGGGAGGGGGGAGGGAATCTTATACGACACCCCTATAAATGGCATCCGCCACCCTCCCGACCTGCCACATCTCCTTCACATCGTGCACGCGCACGATATCGGCGCCTCCAGCGATACTGGCCGTGACCGTGGCTGCCGTACCCCAGGTGCGCTCACTGGCCTTGCTCACGCCGGTCAAGCGACCGACGAAGCGCTTGCGGCTCGGCCCCATCAACCAGGGGAAATACTCGAGGCCTTCAACCGCGCCGGTGCGCAGCTGGGGCAGGTCGCGCAGGAGGGCGAGATCGTGCGGCTCGTTCTTGGCGAACCCGAGGCCGGGGTCGAGGATGATGCGCCAGCGGCGGACGCCGGCGGCCTCGGCGGCGGCGACGCGGTCGCGCAGCTCGCGGCCGACGTCCTGGACGACGCCGTTGGGGTAGTCGGTCAGCTGGGTCATGGTGGCCGGGGTGCCGCGCATGTGCATCAGGATGATGGTGGCGCCGGTGCGCGCGGCGGTGGGCAGCATCTCCGGGTCCAGGAGCCCCGCCGAGACGTCGTTGATGATGTCGGCGCCCGCCGCGACGGCCGCCTCGGCCACCCGCGCCCGGTACGTGTCGATGCTGATCGCCACGCCCGCCGCCTCTGGGATCGCCGTTCGGATGTGCCGGATCGCCGGCACCACCCGCCGCAGCTCCTCCGCCTCCCCGACGGGCTGCGACCCCGGCCGCGTGCTCTCGCCGCCGATGTCGATGATCGTCGCCCCCGCGCGGATCATGCCGCGCACCGTCGTCGTGAGCGCGTCCAGGTCCTGCGGAGAATGGCGCCCACCGTCGGAGAAAGAGTCCGGCGTCAGGTTGAGGATGGCCATGATGTGCGTGCGGCGTTTCGGGGCTGTGGAGTGGATGGCTGGAAAGGTGGAGGAGATCGGGGTGGTGGCCACGGGGAAGGGCGTGGGCGGGGCGAGGGATTTCAGGTGCGCGAGGTAGGTGGTGCTGTGGCCGGGGAAGGGCGGGCATTCATGGGGGATGAGTCTGGCGGTGATCAGCTTGTCTGGTTGTGCTTGGGTTTGGGTGTCTTGAGGAGGGTCCATCCTGGTGAAGACCTACTGACTCAGGGGGCGAAGGACGAAGTCGCGCTCCAGCATCAGTTGGTGTGGAATGCTGAGCCGTTCGTGGGAAAAGATCTGCTGGTCGTACAGGAGGATGTCCAGATCAATAGATCGGGGCCCCTTGTCGATGAGCTTCTTCCTGCCCAGGCCGATTTCAATGGACTGCAGGGTGTCGAGGAGATCCATGGGGCTTAGGCTGGTTTCTACCTGTAGATCGATGTTAACAACCATTGCGGTTGCATTGTTTCTGGGGATGTCTGGGCACAGAGAGATGGACAAACCTCGCACACTCCATTGATGAATGGATCCTGGTCGAGAACGTACATAGGAGCTGTCTCGAAGAGCGAGCTGGTTCTCTTGACCCGGATACTGGCTCGCTCCATCTCACGACAGGCGGCCTCAATCATCTCAATGCGGTCTCCTACGTTGCTCCCAAAGGCGATGAATGCGCGATGCATTGGGGGCTGATGGGCGTCCATGCTGGCGTTGAACAGCGCCTGTCGGCTAGTTGAAACCCGTCTTATGGAAGGTCTAGATGCTAAGCCTTCATGACCGGGTTTCCTCGGTCTCAATGCAAGTAGAGATCGTCTCACCAAAGAAGGTCGGGACTGTACATGTCCTAATTAGGGGTTAGCTAGGGCTATGAAAACTGCGATGTAGAGGGGGAAAAAGTTCACTGGACGCTAAGGGGTTCTAGAAACAAGCATCAACAGGCCATTGGACTGCGAGGGTGGGTCTTAGGGACTCCATACCAGATGTAGACAATTCTCTGTGAGGGGCGTGGGTTAGATTTAGTTTCAACGGGCAACTTTGACTGGCAAATAGACCTGCCTCTTCGGTGAGCCTACACTCGAGGAGTAGGCACTTCCACCAGGCCGTCCGAATGACTGGGACAAGCAAATCGAGGCCTCACTGAGCCGGCTCAGTGAACCGGAAGACCGAAGGGCGGTATTCAGGGTGGCAGCATTGCGATACCAAGTGGAAGAGGACCGATATGCCATTCTTCAGGCGCCCAGGACGAAATGTAGCAGAGGTTACCAGCGGCGAATGCGAATGCGTGGGAGAGGGAGAGCGGAATACGTCATGCATCAGAGCGACCGAAGCCCGAGCGAGACTTTGGCGCCCCCTCAGTCAGCTGATTTGATGCTGTTGGTGCCTGAGGCATGAAGCGCAATCCTGCCGCGACGCCGCCTCTCTCTCCCCCGCATTTCCACATTTTGCCTTCAGCTAATCGGGGCCAGCGCACGGTCACAAACACCACCTAGCGGGCGACGCGCCGGTCCCCGGGGGGGACATCAACGGCACGAACAAGACGGTTTTGGAGATGATCGAGCAAGACACACTGGGGTATCGGGTGGGTGATCCCAAGGAATATAAGGGGGCCATGGCCTTGGTACGCGGCTAGTATAGTAGCACTGTAGAGGGTCACCCTGAGGTGATGGAGATCATCATGCGAATCGGTCACCAGAAAGTCACCTGTGGCCTGAGGATTAAAGCTCAAGCCACTCAATAAGTAGAAAAGCAGTACTACATTAAACTTCAAGTACAAAAACAAAGTTGTTTAGTCTTTATAGAAATTTGGTTGAATAGTTTATATAGTACTTGCAACTCTCAACGAAAACGTAATGCACTTGGATTGCTTGCTCGTGACGCTGAATTGAGGCTGATCGTACACAGTTACACAAACACGAACTAGTACACTACTCATAAATAAATCATGTGCCCATGGCTAACAACCCTTGATGGCCTGAGGCCGGTTTGTGGGTTCGGTAGCCAGTCAAGTGTGACGAGGCGGGAGTCGGTAGCCGTCCGTCTGATCGACGATCATCATCTCGACTGGACCGAGGCACAACCCCCGGGGCAATCCTCACTCCTCGGTTCTCCCTCCCCCTCCTTGTTTGCATTCTTTATGACTTCCAGTCGTATTTCCCTTCTTTCAAATCCTTTTAAATACTTCTCCTGAGCGTCTTCTATCCCACTTCAATTTCCATCTTATCTTGATCTAGCGATACCCACTTTGCAGCTCCGTCCTTCTAGCCCTTAAGCATGGCTTCTCCTCGTAAGCTTCCGTCGCTACCTACCCCGGATTCTACCACTGTCACATGTGTGACAGCTGTGGTACCCCCAGACGACTTTTCAAGACCCTCCCTGCTGACCATCACACTTTCAATATACAGAGCAAATCCGTACCACCCTCACCGATCTTTTGAAGATCAACCACCCCATCCTGCTGGCAGGAATGAACGTGGCCGCTGGGCCCAAGTTGGCCGCAGCGGTCACCAACGCCGGTGGCCTGGGAGTCCTTGGAGGTATCGGCTACACCCCCGACATGCTTCGCGAACAGATTGCCGAACTCAAGAGCTTCTTGAAGGACCAGAACGCACCCTTTGGTGTTGACCTGTTGCTTCCCCAGGTTGGCGGTAGTGCTCGGAAGACCAAGTGAGTAGTAGGACTAGTTTCGCATGTGATTTGCCGATCATCTGGATCGTATGACACGGTAGTCTTGCCGAGAAAGCTGGAGTCGCTAATTCCTTTTTCCCGTCAGCTACGATTACACCAAGGGCAAGCTCAACGAGCTGATTGATATCATCATCGAGAGTGGCGCAAAGCTTTTCGTCTCGGCGGTCGGTGTGCCCCCCAAACATGTCGTCGAGAAGCTGCACAGCGCAGGCATCCTCTACATGAACATGATCGGCCACCCTAAGCACGTGCAGAAGGCCCTGGATGCCGGCGCCGATATCATCTGCGCTCAAGGTGGTGAAGGAGGTGGTCACACCGGCAATGTTCCCACGACCATCCTCATCCCCACGGTGGCCAAGCTGTGCCAGGGCCGGAAGAGCCCCTTGACTGGCAAGCCTGTGCAGGTGGTTGCTGCCGGTGGTCTGTACAACGGCAACTCCGTCGCTGCTGCGCTCATGCTGGGTGCCTCGGGAGTCTGGATTGGTACTCGCTTCATCCTCTCCGAAGAGGCCGGCGCTCCCAAGGCTCACCAGGAGGCTGTTCGCACCGCTGGCTTTGAGGACAACGTTCGCACCATCATATTCACGGTACACTAACCTTTCCAATGTAAACCTCGAGTGACATGTGGCTAACAAGGCAATAGGGTCGCCCGCTCCGCGTCCGCAATAACGAGTACATCCAAAACTGGGAGGAGAACCGACGGGACGAGATCAAGCAGCTGACCTCGAAGGGTATCATCCCCGTCGAGCACGACATGGAGAATCTCCCCGACGATGTCGATGACTCGGTGCTTGAGAACGCGCGCCCTTACCTCATGGGTAAGGTTGCTGCCGTGGTCAACGAGAAAAAATCCGCCAAGGCGATCGTTGACGAGCTTGTGACGGATGCCGCTGCTTTGTTGCAGAACGGCCACAGGATGCTTGCGAAACTGTAGATATTAATTTGCCTGATACCTATGTTGCATATGTTTTCAAAAATTTTTGGCCTGTGCTATTCTGCTTTTTTTGCTTCTCGACGATGCTATTATACGCATTATAGCTGTTGGTTATGACCCACTGAGTGATTGAATATCCTTAGGTCTGTCTTAGATATAGCTTCAATCGACTGGGTGACTACTTGCTAGTACATAAACACATCTCTTCATAAGACTGGCGTTTTGGTCTCGTGAGGAAAATGGACCGTCCAAGTAAGTTGGAATAAGCTGGAGATGTACATGTGCTCAGTTCTTCGCCCAAATGGTCCCTGCATATTCTTGGAGAATTTCCTTCCTCTTGGATCAGCCTACACAAAGGATGTTATGTCTCCACCCGTCCAGCAAGTCATTTCATGTGTCACATTCATGGTCGAAGCGAATACTGATACTGAACCCCATGAGCACATCTAGCTCTTGTCAGCACACGGCACATTAAACAGCCATACAAGCAATTACGTTACCACTGCCCGCTTCCCCGGAACTTCGGATTCAGCAACTCGGTTCATGATAGGATCATAGAGAGCTGCCTTCTTTACCCGCACAGTAGATGACTTATTCGCATGCGGAATGATCTCACAGAACTTACACTTCGGGGCCAAAGAATGGCAATGGAACTCGGGAACGGGCATTTTTTGATGGAAGGCTCTGATACTCACGACAACACCAGCTGCCATTGCATGGCAGAGGAATAAAAATCCTTCGGAGGGATCTCCACACTCGACATCTTGTACTGAGCGGCGAAAGTGGTTTGTCACAGTGCTTGCGGTTCGCATAATGGTATTGTTGTAGTATGCCAGACGGCCCCGGCATGTGTGGGTGGCATGAGCCACTTCAACAATTCATGCCTTGACGACTCCCCTCACTGCGGACGGTCCGATTATCTATGGTACAGCAATTTCAGGGACAGTACAGACACCGTGCCCAAACCTACAGAATATGTGCTTTCCACCAACTTATCACATTTGTCCAAAGATATGCTAGTGGTGATGAGATGTAGAATACCGCCGATAAGCAGTCAGCCGGGTGGAACGTGCAGCCCTGGGCTGACTTGCGATATATGTTAAGCTGAGGAACTCTGAACTTGTATAATAGAGTGCTTCCGGCCTTGTACTGTACTCGACGAGTGACTTCCATGTTACTACACACGTACGCGATGCTCGCTAGCCCCCTGGCTGACACACAGACAGGCGCCTGGTTCTGAGGTACAGAGGCACTCACCCTGGAGCATTACAGTAGTACAAATGGGTTGGGCTGCATAAAGTTCTGAGGGCTGTCGATCGCTTACTACACTATCTTCTCAGGGTTTTCGAAAGGGACGGGTAAGCATCTGCATCCTCGCTGTTGCGGTATCCCCCAAGCCATGACACAAAACAGTGCCTTAGTGTTCGCGACAGCCCGTAGCAGGGATCAGCATTCCTAGGCTCTGTGTGCTGTGCTGTGCTGTGCTAGCACCAGCGCCTCGGGTCAGTTGATCCATGTCACATACCACCGGATAAGTCTATGCTAAAAAAGTGTGCAGCAAGATTGGGGCAGCGCGAGCCACTCCCTATACGAGGCTGCTGAGAGAAGCCCAGAAAGGTGATTCTTGCCATGAGCTGAGCGGTTTGCGAAGGCCGCTCGTTGGCAGCCTACTTCATCTTTGGACCAGGCTGGCAATGAAACATTTGTATATCGATCTGCTCAATCCACTGCGCCAGGCTATCCTGCTGTGGAACGTTGCATCATCCTTCCTCGATGTCATAGCTGTGCTGTGCTGCTAGTATCAAAGACGAATATATCACGATGCTATATCACACTTCAGAAAAGACTAGGTTACGGTTTTGTAATGGTGTCGATGGTCGGTTCACTTCAAGGTGTACTTCGCGACGGACGTACACCCAGCGCCAATTCGGCTTATGACCGCTCATCGACCACCAAAGCAGCCGGTCGATGTCTAGTGCATGAATTCGCGGACACGAGTCAAGAAATTAAGAAGAGAAATGCATATAGTACAGATCCCACCGGAGCAACACTACACGGACCAACCACTCTTTCTGGGAAGGATACGCCGATGCGATCCCATGAATGAGACAGATAGTCAGGACGGGCACGGGACGGGGGTATCGCCCCGATCTCCGGCGATCGTGTACATGCCCCGATGTCCTCAATAAGAATGCGGACTTGTCGCAAAAGCAAAAGGGGGCACCACTGACAAGGATGAGAGGAGTCGACGTACTTTCAAAACGAGTGAACGACACTAGACAACCAGGCTAAGCTCGCGGAAGCGGCACGCGCCTCGGATACATTCCGTTGGCGCCTTAGGTTTAGAGTACGTAGCTCTAGAGCCTCCAGGCAAAAAAAAAAAAAAGTCAATATCGGTGTTAAGCTTCAGAGCTAAGATTTCATTTCTCGGAGGAATCGGAGACAATGCACTCGTTGAGGAATGGCTCTTCGGATTTTAGACTTTCTGAGAGCAGGCTAGCCTGGATGTGGTATGATTCCAGGAACGATGTCGGGGGCAGCCTACCTCGCGGGAAATGAGATCCCGGTTTGAGATTCATATCGCTAGATGCTGGGTCTACGGGAAAATAATCAGTCTACTCGGCGGATAGAACATGGACGATGCGTAGTTGACACAGCCGACTGTTAGAGATTGTGGTTTGAGTTTGTACAAAGTAGATATTGTGGAGGGTTTAGGTATTAAGGGTCAAACGGAAGGGAGTCAGAAGTCTATATATATCATAAAGGTACGCAGCTATATCTCAGATGCACGGGATCGGACATCGGCCCCCAGATCTGTCGACCTATATGCGCGGTGGATGTAATCATTACATATATCTATTAGTGATTCTGAAATGCTATGTCGCATTAATGAGCTGGCGCTACAGGGATACCATGAAGCTAACAATGTCGGCTACTTGACTCTAACCAACGCCGTTAACGCCATCTTATTATTATTGCCCTACATGAAGGAGACAGCGACGCACATGTTAGCGGCTGCAGTCTGCCAGTTCGAGGGCTAACAGCCGACACTAACCGGGATGTCTCCTTGCTGTCGTCCACGGAAGTCTCTCCATGCGGATATCCACCGCGTTGATAGAAAAGCCTCTTCTCTCGTGCAGTTGTAATAAAAGGAAACCTCAAATTAGACTAGGTAAAGCTACGAGAATCTCTGTATTTGCCGATAGTTCACCTTCGCGTACATTGTACTCCCTATTGAAGGTATTGGTGGTACTCATACTATGTGCGGTACGTACTTAGTATAGCATGTCAAAATTCTTCCACCAACCGCCTAGTCAGCCCAATCACATCAACCCCGAATCTAAGGTACAGAATGACTGATCTATCGGCCAGCCCGCTCAGCAAGAACAATTGGATCCAGTGCCAGCGGTTCGGGTCTAGTTCTGTTCTTTCATCGGCTCGGCAAAGTACCCGCTGACTAACGGAGCGGAGAGAGAGGAGATATTCGGTGGAAAAAGCTCTCACTTCCTCCATGATTAGAGGTTCAATTGGGGAACCTGACTCAATTGAATGGAAGTGATAGGACGGACCAAATGCTATGCACACGAATGAGAAACTCGGGTCTTCAAGTCTTTGCTCGGGAACCCGAGCCGAAGAGGGTACAGTACAGGATTGTGGTGCCTGCAGTGGTCAAACCGTTCAAACCCGCGCGCGCTGCGCTGTCCTGTCACGCGCGCCCGCCAAGCCTGATGAGAGAGAGTTTCCCTCGGGAAAAGAAGCAAGAAGAAAATTCATCTCCAAGGCTAAATGGGGGACTTGGAGGAGGGTTTAGATGGATCTTAAGGCGGGTCTAGATGTTTTTTCTTGTCTTCTTCTTCTCGTAGAAGTGGGCAATCTGGAATGGCTGGGGGAGGGATCCATATCAAGAACTCGATCATTGTAAGGCCAACCAACGCCTCCATGCGCAGAATGTCCTTTGAAGCCTGAGTCGAGAAATCTCCAATGTTCCGCGGCATCAAGAACATGACAAACGTCTGCAGTCTATCCTGGTGCCTGGTTCAATTGTGGATTGCATTTAGTAGTCTAGCTCTTGGTACGGCATATCCGGGCCCTGATGCCTTTCCTTCTCCCTCCATGCTTGCTCTTTTTAGAATGGCAGCTCCGACAGCAAGCAAGCTCGCACCAATGGTAAAACGAGGCGCCGCTACCGAAGTTTCGGTTGCCTTGGGTGGGCTTGGCTTGCTGGATGAAATGGATAATTCCCGCAAGGCGTTTTCTTCCTAACACCGGTTGTATACTATTTGTCGCGAACGGGAAGGAAGAGGCTTGGGTTCATCGGGAAACTGATTAAAAATTCGAGTTTTGGTGTATGTAGGGGCAGTGACAAACACAATTTCCAGCACGGGTTGTGAGTTGCTCAATTAAGGTAACGTCCTCGACTGCTTCCTTATGCACAATTGCACATCCTGAGCGGAGCGAATGATCGACGCGACTCATGACGGCGGCCCTGAGAGGTTTCCCCATACTTAGATTATTAAAAGAGGCGAAGGGATGATGTTGAGGAGCATCAGAATTGCCAGGTGTCTCAGAGGACCGGAAGGTGACAGAAGCCGACAGTTTCGACTCTCGAGTCATCATTACGCTGGTCTGGGCGATTGGAGGCGAAAAGCTAGGAAGATTACGGGAGGATGGAGGCAGCGGAGTGGGGTGGTTTTTCCTTGCACCGGAAGCTGGTGGAGTGCGAAGTTCGTGGAGATCCACAAGTTAATGCTCGACGGTACGGGTACAGTGCGGTACCTGAATTGCATGGTTGATGACAGTCCGAAGACTTACAGAGCACGACAGAGTTGCCAAAGCCACCAGAGGCGACGAGGTGTAAAGCCATCGCACGGATTGATGAAATGGATCGGATTGATATACTAATAGGGGACAGATGTCCAGACGCTAGATGCCGCTGAGCAGGGGACGGAAATTGCCATGTTGCAACAACATCAAACAGGATCTGTCCCTTCCGAGCTGACTATGTCGACATCCCTATAGGAGATTGCGGCCGAGGTGCATCCGAAACCTCCTTTGTCTTGCTCATCTACGGAGTACTTGGATGCGAAATCGCCATCTCTAGGATAGATTAATCGCAGGTGGGTGAACTAGGTTATGTCCAGAAAGGACAATGCAGTTATTTCGTCGTGGCCCAGGAGCTGAGCTGGCAGCAATCTAATAACCCTTGCGCTAAACAATAATGTCAGGCAATGGCTGACCCCCGGAAATATTCCTGCCTGGACGGGTGAGGTCGCAGTACTAGGTACAGTACTAACTTCCTAAGTTCTTATCTCATGCTGCAGATGACCAATCACCAAGAGCCGTGGCCAGCTGCGAAATGAACCGCCACGTTCCAATCAAGCAGCGTCGATGAGCCGGGGGTGAATGCGCCAAGTCGCACGCATCTCTTGGTGCTATTGCTTGTCTGAAGCTTCGCTATCTGATAACGATGGACGACGGCGATCCCCGCGACCTGTCACATAGAGAGGCCGCGAGCACGTAGGTTCCCGAAGGCGTGGGGTAATCGCAGAGTCTGGGGAAGAGATAGGATGGTGCCGTAAGGGCCATGCAATGGAACGGGAGGACTGGAGAATGCTGGACACCCTCAATGAGGGGGTTTGCCCACTACTCCAGATCCCTGTCGCAAACGCATGGAGCCGCGGGCATAGTCTGACGACGGACATCTCTAGTTTTATTTAGCACAAGCCATGCGTTGGACCAGCGTAATGTATTGCAGAGGGCCATTAGTCAAGTCACTGAGGATGAATACGTGCGTGAGTGGCAAGAATGATCACCCAGGAGAGTATGAGTAGTCAAGAATCATCGGCGATGGCCGAATAATGAGAAGGATGATATCAGCATGAAGCAGATGTTCACCCCGTCTGAGGTAGGAGAAGATAAAGATTGAAGGGGAAGGCTGATATGGATAGAGTGCGACAGATAAGGACTGGAGGGCAGTTTGACAGCAAGAGGAAGGACTGACCCCAAGCTGAGTCGTTTGACCACGATTTCCTTCCTCATCTAGACCTGACGGTACCTGACCTGTATGTACGAACAAGCAACTAACACCAATACATAACGGACTGTTATCATTATCAAATCACTCAGGGTTGGAGCCCAGATAGTGTCCCTTGTTGCCTATCACCAGACGAGGTCTTATCAAAGGGTGGAACTCATTGCCACAGACCCCACCGTGTAGCAGAGTTTTGCGGGCCAATCCCGCCACGAGGGCTGTTGAATTCTGTAATCCATGTGGTGCTTAAGTCCAACTTCCATCCAATGAAAGAATTTGTGGCTGAGCATTACACGGCATGATTGGGACAGGGCATAAGCTTGTGCGCACTAGGGCTCAACCAGGACCCATTTGGCTCTGTGGGGCATTTTCCACCTCTTCTCGAAACCGGTGCACTGTTTCCATACCATGGGCCTCTCACTTGCAACACGCGACACTGATCCTGAATCTACGGGCCGGTTTTCCTTTTTTCTTCTTTTTTTCCCAATCATTTTTTTTCCCGTTTCTTCTTTGAGTTACGCGGTCGCGGCGGTTTTCCGACTCGGAAGCGATCATTACATCGATCTGGATCCGGTGGGCCTTCGCTCGTCTCGGACTGGTGTGGGCGTAACTGTGTGTGTGTGTGTGTGTGTGTGTGTGTGTGTGTGTGTGTGTGGTGGGTAAGAAATTATTCGCCATGCCTCGCTGAAAATCACTTATTAGACGCTTCGATCCCACCCCTCCTACAGAGAAAGATAGAAAAAAGAAGGAAAGATGTGGTCGTCGTTTCGTCTTTCCTCGTCCCTCCCCCTCCCCCCTTGAGTTCATACTCAATACTCGAGCTTTTCAAGCTCTTGTATATACCAATCACCCTCAATTTCGAGTCTTTAGTACTCAACCCTTTTAATCCAACAATCTTACACGCCGTTGAGATATACGCGTTACATCATGTTCGGTGGTATCGATTCGGAACGGGACCTTGAAAAGGCTCCCCAGGTGGCCAAGGCGCCTATGGATGACAGCAGCGATGGCGCTGTCCCTGGGGAAAGCTTCATGTACGGCAACTCGGTCTACGCAAAGCTTCAGCGGCTGGCTGGAAAGTTCAACATTGAACAACGAGGTGTCGAGCGTGTCCCCGAGAACGAACGGACGGATACCTCGTACTTCAACATCAGCAGCATGGTGTGTACCTAGCTTACTGCATTATGCTCCTGTCTTACTGGCTCTCCGCCGGTGCTCACAAGACCGCCTCCCAAACTGACCCCTCGCAGTGGCTGGCAGCCAACATGGTGGTTAGTTCGTTCGCTATCGGTATCTTGGGACCTGAGAGCTTCGGGCTTGGCTTCGTTGACTCCATCCTCGTCTGCCTCTTCTTCAACCTGATCGGTGTCTTGACTGTTTGCTGGTTCTCTTGCTTCGGTCCCGCTTTCGGTCTCCGTCAGATGGTTCTATCCAGATTCTGGTTCGGGTACTGGCCGACAAAATTCAGTAAGAATCCCTCGCCTCTCAAGCTTCAGACACGGCGTGCTAACCCAATCGCCGCGCAGTCGCTCTTCTGAATGTCTTGTCCTGCCTGGGTTGGTCTGCGGCCAACTCCATTGTCGGCGCTCAGTTGCTCAATGCCGTCAACAGCGACGTTCCTGGTTTTGCAGGCATTTTGATCATTGCCGTCTGCACACTCTTCGTCACTTTCGCCGGATACAAGGTCGTTCACTTGTATGAGTTCTACAGCTGGATCCCAACCTTCATCGTCTTCATGATTGTTTTCGGCATGTTTGCTCACTCTGGAGATTTCTGGAACATTCCCATGGGAACCGGGGCCGCTGAGATCGGCTCTGTCCTGTCATATGGTGCAACCATCTATGGTTTTGCTACGGGATGGACCAGTTATGCCGCTGATTATACCGTTTATCAGCCCTCGGACCGCAGCCGCCGCAAGGTTTTCCTGGCTGCTTTTGGTGGCTTGATCCCTCCTCTCCTCTTCACTCAGTTCTTGGGCATCGCTGTCGCTACTGCCGCCATGGTTAACGATGGAAACAACAAGTACGCCACTGGTTATGCGCAATCCGGAAACGGAGGCATTATTTGGGCTATTGTGGAACCTCTCGGCGGATTCGGCAAGTTCTGTCTGGTTATCCTCGCCCTCTCCATTATCGCCAACAACTGCCCCAACATCTACTCCGTCTCTCTCACTCTCCAGGTCCTGAGTCACCAGACTCAGAGAGTCCCTCGTTTTATCTGGGTGTTCCTGGCCTCGTGCGTCTCTGTTGCCGTTGCTATCCCCGGATACTCTCACTTCGAGGAAGTTCTCGAGAACCTGATGGACTTCATCGCCTATTGGCTGGCCATCTACTCCGGTATCGCTATCGCCGACCACTTCATTGTTCGTCGTGGCTTCGGTGGATACCGCCCCGAGCACTATGACAAGCCCGAGAAGCTTCCTTACGGCTTCGCGGCTTGCATCTCTTTCGCCTTCGGCGTCGTCGGCATGGTCACCGGTATGAGTGAGACCTGGTTCGTTGGACCCATCGCCAAGCGCTCGCATGGTGGTGACATCGGTTTCGAATTGGCCATATTGTTCTCGTTCGTCGTGCATGCTATCGTCAGACCTATCGAGCTGAAAAAGTTTGGCCGGTAAATGCGTGCAACTTTCTTACTGTCTTTCTATATACAACAATTTGGGAATGGGTTTTCTTGGGAATAGGTTATAGTCTTTTTTTCATGTCTGTTATGAGGAATCAGCTTGTCTATGGTGGTTCTCAGTTGGAACCAGACGGCTTCCGTCATGCTAGCTGGTATTTTGTACATAGATATAATTGTTGATTCTAATAACTCCCGTGCAGATGAGCCGGGAAGTCGAATACGAATGAAGTCGTCATGAAAGTTCCTGCTCCGAGTTTGAATTTCCTAATGATGTTATCATCGCCTAGCAATGCTGTTCTGCAGCACATGCTTTATAGCTGATTCTTACGCAAAGCAAACCATCGCTGTAACATCCAGATCCAGGGTGAGTTGCACTATCTACATCCCAGATTGAAGCCTGCGAATGGTAGAACATCAACAAGGACTACTCGACCTTTATGCCCCTTCCAGCCCGTGCAGGATAACTCCACGTGGTTATTGATATTAGATTGTTTCTCCCCGTACCTCTGTCTCTACGATGAGCCTTCAATTTGCCCTTATGGCTGGGATATAGCCAGCATAGCCCTTCGTTCACACAGTGCCAAATGTAAAGGATCCAAGTCTAGTGGTGAAGCATCCCGTAAGACATCTATAATCGCATTGCATTGATCGTAGATGGATATGGATACTTAATGAGTTGGCCCCGGGCAGTGCGTATGTTCTCATATACTAGAGTCATATCTGATGCGTCGAAGCTCGTAGATACTATCCTGGTAACGAAGTTCGTCAATATCTCAGCTCTTTACTTACTGCTCACCATCTACTGTGGTCCCTTCAAGTTCAACAGCTTTTGACACGTTTGCAACATTACTTTACTATACCGTCGAGGCTGGCTGTGGTTGATCCAGCCTGACAGAGACATGTCTGTGAAGAGGGGTGGTCAATTGCGACTAACTTATCTGTCTACAAGATAACTGATAGTATGAGCATTCCAACTAACATTCAATTTCCTTTTCTTGAGAAGGAGAAGAAGAAGAAGAAGAAGAAGCAAATCGTATTGATCAACTCATCTAATGGATCGCATGTTTCCTCCCGCCCAAGAGCAACGTCTCTCACGTGATCAGCGGCCAAGCACCAGCCACGGCAGGCTGCGCCACGAGCAAATTGCCGCGCCGCGAACAAATCCACAACGGATTCGTTCGCCTTTCATTGTGAAATCCAGAAAACTAGCAACCCAAGGGCCATACGCAACCCCCCTCTTTCATCACACATACCACCCACAATGTCTAAGCTAGGAAAGTAAGCAACTCGAAAGCCCCCAGTGTCATTTTTGCTCGACCCCAAAACCGGAAAACCTCTTTCTTCCATACCCCATTTATCTGACAATATTTTTTCTGTCTAGCCGCGCCGACTGGGCCGACGACGAGGAGTTTGACGACCCCTCCGCCCTCCCCGCACAGCAGATCACGACGAACAAAGATGGCACCAAGACCGTGGTCTCGTACCGCTTCAACGACGAGGGCAAGAAAGTGAAGGTCACCCGCCGCATCAAGACCACCGTGGTGCGGGAACACGTCAACCCCCAGGTCGCCGAGCGCCGCAGCTGGGCCAAGTTCGGCCTGGAGAAGGGCCACGCCCCCGGCCCCTCCTTCGACACCACCTCTGTGGGTGAGAACATCGCCTTCCGCCCCAGCATCAACTGGAAGATCCAGGCCCAGGAGGAGGAGAAGAACCCGGAGAAGGGCAGCATGAAGGACCAGCTCAAGGACAAGAAGGTCAAATGCCGTATCTGCAGCGGCGAGCACTTCACCGCGCGCTGTCCCTTCAAGGACACCATGGCCCCCGTCGACGAGCCCGCCGGCGGTGCCGGTGGCGTCGAGGGCGGCGCCGACGAGGGGGCCGCCGCCGCCGGTGGCCTGGGTGCGACCTCCGGCAGCTACGTGCCTCCTCATCTACGGAAGGGTGCGGCCGGCGGCGGCGAGCGCATGGCTGGCAAGTTCGAGAAGGACGATCTGGCGACTTTGAGAGTCACGAACGTAAGTGATCTTCTTTGCTTTTGCTGCGTTACTACTCTTTCCCTTCCTCTCTTTTCTGCGGGGGCGGGTGGGGTGGGATGAGTAGGCGGTTCTGTGTGTCTGTGTTGGCGACGGTGACGACGCATACGCATACGCATATGCATACACCCACCTACTCACTCAAATCCCTTCGAGAAGAACCGGGGAAAACTGTTCGCACCTCATTTCAAACCCAAAAACTAACATCCGCAACAGGTCAGCGAGTTGGCAGAGGAAGGCGAGTTGCGGGATCTGTTCGAACGCTTCGGTCGTGTCACCAGAGTCTTCCTGGCCAGAGACCGGGAGACCCAGAGAGCCAAGGGTTTCGCCTTTATCAGCTTCGCGGACCGCAGCGATGCTGCCCGTGCCTGCGAGAAAATGGATGGCTGTAAGCTTTTTCCCCACACCTTTCAGCCCCCCCAAAGAAAACGAAAAAGAACTAACATCCTTCCTCTTCTACACAGTCGGTTACCGCCACCTTATTCTGCGCGTCGAGTTCGCCAAGCGGGCTACTTAGATTCCTTCCACCACGTTGTTGTTTCGTCCCCTAAACTCTCGCACCATCCCCCTTTCAAACTCATTCCCATCTTATTTCCGGTTCACGACACCTTGGCCGCTTTCCGTCAAGAAGCGGGTTTCCTTCATGATGACTTCAAGGATCCCTCAACTACTACTTCTTTTTCTTTGTATTGTATGATCCGATCGATAATGATGAATACTGAAAAAGGATTCCAAAGTGTCGATTTTTCTGCTAAGATTCTTGCGTACATATATATGTGTTGTTGTGTGCGCACATTTGGTCGAGGTATATACAAAAAGCAAGGGAAACCCCTCCCAAAAAAAGAAGCAGTTGTCTCCTTTTCCAGTCATCCTCTTCACAATCCTCCTCTTCTTCATCCACTTTCTTGATATCTTTGCATGGTTACATGTCATGGGATTTGGTTTTGATAATCTTCCTTGTGACTGGCTAGTCGGCTGGCTTTGCTTGTTTCCTTGCTTGATGGTCTTCTTTGTGGTCTTCCAATTCTCCCCTTGCTCCCCGCTTTAGCTTGGTTAGTTTTCTTCCTCTTTTTCCTTGGATGGTTCGAGGGAGGCGAGGTTTTGCTTTGCATAAAGAAAAGTGCTCTTTTTGACTGGGTTCTGAGACGAGATCACGTTGCATTCAGGATTAGCGTGGGCTTGTAGGCATATCACAATGATAGGAAGTCTGGTTCGACGTGGCCTTTGCGATCATGTGAACGTAGGAGTAGACAGTCGCAAGCTGGGAAAGGGAGGGGGGAAGGGTCAAGAAGTCCTAATCCCTTCTACCAACCTCCGCAAATGCCTCTGGCAGGACTGTTAGTCTTCTCCGTAGATGCATTCATTCTCCTCCTCGACCTCACCCCCGGTCCACTGTGCAGCAATTGCTTATGGAACTTTGTCCGATGAGTCAATCTACATCATTGCCAGCTGTTCTTCCCCTACACCCACCAAGATTTTTGAAAAGAATCCGTGGACGGGGGGCGGCACTCGAGCCCAGTAATCGGCCAGAAAGGAAATGGCAATAGGCCCCCACAGTCAGAGGAAGTGGCGGATGGGCGTTGACAGGCTGCGGCGAACAGACTATTGAAGTCGGTTTGTCAAGGATATGCTTGCCGTATACAAGCTTTTGTCAGGCTGAGAAATGGCCTGTGGGCTAGGCCGGATGGCAAAGAAGGATCAATAATACTCAGGAGCTTCTGAGATCAACGCTGCCCCGTCCGCCACCCGCTTCACGCACGCCAACCCGCTATCTCTTTGCAAGAATCCCTTGTAAACATGGCTCTCTGGTAGATGCCGCAGGATAAGGCGCTCCTCAGTGGCAAGATCGGGGTCATGCCACATCTGAATTGGTCGATCTTCACGCCCAGGAGGGTAAGCATGACCAAACGAACAATTATCAACATCAGTGCGTGATGACCCGCCTAAGCCGTCTGCCATTCAGATAAGCCAATGCCTGTTTTCTGGGGCGAGGCGTCACGCCAAATCAGCATGATGGAGATGTATAGAATCTACCTTCGCAAGTGCACCAATGGCTATTGCTCGGAAGGTAAGTGGATGGTGTGCTGACTCCGTCCGACATTGGTTACATTGCATGGACACGGTGTTGGATAGTTCTGTCAACAATGGTCTTGTGTATCGCCCTGCGAGTAATTCCGTCAACTGTTGATATGCTCTCCTTCTGAACACACTCGCGAGCTCCTATCTGTGTTACCCACGAGAGACAACTGAGCTAGCACTGGCCATTCACTGGAAGAGCCGATTCCCCACGGGACTCAGCATAACCGTCTCGCCAAATGGGCGTCTTGCACGCCACTCGCATCAACGTCACCTACACCAACCTTACCCAATCAAGTATAACGACCGTCCTATCCGGTTCGACTCAGTCGAAGAAGCAGATTCCATGGCTGAAAGCCAGCAGGCATCATACCTTCTCGGCTTTTTTTTTGGTTCGTATTCCCTTGAGCAAATGCCTCGAAGGCGTCGATCAGCGTCGGTCCTATGGCCCTGTTCGCTGCTGCTGAGACTCCAAGGCTATACTCTGGCGCTCGAGCGTCCGATCGGATTGAGTGGATGGGCATGATAGGGTGAATTCCCCGGCCAAACCTGGCGCCTTCTGCAGTATTTTCAGTTATGGACCGGCACTTAGAGTTGGTGCTCGCGTTGACCTCGAAAGAAGTCTTTGCCGCGAGCGGGAAAATACCCAGAATACCAATTACAGGCAGCAATTGATCCTGATTCCGTCGAGTCACACAAACAAGCCAGATTTGACAGCAACCTGACCAACGGAGACGGCCACGCGGAATAAGGAATAATAACACCAACTTGGGTTTCCGGTACAAATGCCGGATTCCCTTGACAAGGTATTAGCCGCAGTATCGTCAGGTATGAGAAAAACGATTCGGATCAAAGGGGGTTTGCGGACAAGAATGTGGATACAGCTAGGACAGAGCTGTTGAGATGGGTTTCATCTATCCACCTTGGCTCCAGATGCGCGGCATTCAAGTATGAGCAATAGTGGCCTGGCTCATTCGATATATCCAGAGATCAGTGGCATCGACTCAAGGACAGCCGAGTGTGCTGAGGTCGCTGTAGTTTAGCTCTTCAGTTCAACCGGGCAAATCACAAGTTGACCGGCAAGAACCGGTATACCCTCGGACCCGACGCTACAAGAGAAACCAACGATGCTCCTGCCTAGAACACGCGCGGTAGTAGCACCTGTGCGTCCGTCACGGTATATTTCCTCTGGTAATGATGCTCAAACGCATATTAGCTCGACCACTGAAGAAAGCTGCTACAGCTTGAATTGAGCTATAGAACCAGATACTCTCGGAAGGCTACTTCTGCCAGAACCGGCTGCCCGGTAAGAATGATCCGATAGAAAGGCTAATATGCAAAGGGATGATTGTAATCCGCATAGCAGCTCAGGTAATAGAGCCAGGGTTCTGTCAAGGATCCATCCAATTGTAAAGTCTATCGAGAATCCCGGAGATTAAAGCCGAATGTTCTGGACTCGCCTCAAGTGCAGCTGCTTCGACGGCAAGACGACGGCCTGGCGGGGCTTTGTTGATAGTCCAAACCGTAATATCGGCCGTCTGCAGCCCAAAACATGTCAGGACAGGCTTCTTTGCCCCAGCATGGATTGGAAAATGTACTGTAATTATTCTGTGGTTGCACAGGAGGCTGCATCGGAAAACGTATCAGCCACTAGCACGGGTAAAAGTCAGCAGGCAAAAGGAATGAATCGCGTTCTGATTGTGATGGACCAGAGCCGTGCATTCATCGGAAAGGCACCAGTGGGTGCGAGTTGGTAGCGATGCTACTTCTGAGACAGGTCCAGCACATTCCCACCCAGGTTAGAGAACTGAGCCGTCGTTAGAGCCTTGTTCGAACCTTAACGTAGGAACGGTCATGAATGAACGGACAGCGTCCTCAATCCAAATCCTTCGGGACTGGACTCCAGTTGAATAAGAGAAAAGAGAACGAACAAATGCCTTCGAGGATGCTCTGTCATGTCCATCGGCCAACGTAATGATGACTCCGTTAGGACTGGCCTCTCTGATTCGCGAGCTGGTGCTCTGGAAATTACCTAGCAGCCCGATAAAGTCTTGGCCCAGTACTCCGTAACTGGAACAAATGCGAAGTTTTTAAGGTTTGTTGCTTAGGTAGACACAGCCCTGTCAGCCATACTCTTGGTAAAGTACGGAGTAGCAGAGAAAGGAGATGTTCGGGGCGTTGTCGGTATCCGGCTTTCGTTCCATCGTTCCATCGTTACCAGGACCAATAGAGCTCAGTTCCTGCTCTGACGAAGAAAGATGACACCGCACTGGCACTAGCTATCATGATGAGCCATAGAAACAGAAAATTGTGGAGGAGATGGACGACTGAATCGGTTGTTGGTTGTTGGCGCAATAATAACAATGGTCGTAACTAAATGGTTGTAAATAAGAAGGTACCAGTCGGCATGGTACTAATCCCTTTCCAGCGATTCCCTGCACGTGCCATGATCCCTCCCGGCACTAAGAGGATTTGCCCATGGCCCAGTGATTCTGAATTAATTGATAGACTAAGGTACAGTACAGGCTCCTACTACTTAACACTTACTATGAACAGTTAGTACGGTCGGTACCTATACATCTGTAATGTGATTCTCCCTGGTTCAATTTAGTCTCCCACAACCGTTCTTGCTTTTGTATCCGCGATCAAGTTTGTGGAAAATGCATCCCTGCAATCACCATGTCCAATTGTTCGTCCTGAAGATCTCAATGGGTTTGATTCTGTAGATTGGCATTGGCAGAGTTCTCGAGTTCTCTATCAGTAGAGAGATCTCATTCTCATTCTGAGATGCGCGTGAGATCATACCGTACCTCCTTTCAACCATGAATCCATCGATAGATCACTAGTCCAATCAGCGGGCCCAACTCTCAAGTTAACCCTGGCTTGAATTAATGCAACATCCTTCACGTCCCAGTCTTGTCTTGACTCTTGAACCCCCCTCCCCCTCCCCCTCCCCCTCCCCCAACCCCCTGTTCAAGGTTACTATGGGATTCGCGCCGCATCCCGCGGGCACGTCCTGCACGACATTCATCCTCCACTAGGGACTGACTCTATACCCAGAATTTGCAGTCCTTCAATGACTGGCTTCGAGGGAAGAATCTCACTCGGACACTACCAATGATGTCTCCTTGGCGGCTTATTTCAGCACCGTGCATATCACATCTGGACCAACTAGCTTCCTGCAGGTCTGGCCGATCATCCAGCCACAGAAAACCTCCCATTAGGAAGAAAGAGGGGGAAAAGAGAGGGGGGGGAAGGAATAAGAAAACATTGACCAAAATGTTCAGATGAAATATCCCAAAAAAAATCCCCCACTTCCGCAAACTCCATTCTTTTCCAGATCCAAGTGAAGTCACTTAGGCTGTCTTACCTGGCAGTGGGCCTAATCAATTCTGGAAAATATGCGGTGCGCAGCACATGTACGCTCCACACCGAGAATCGGTAGGACTGAAAAGGGGTCATTGTCGCTGAAGTGCATGCGATTCGGTCAAAATATCCAACCGAATCAAAAGAGGCATGCTATCCATGCTACTGCAGTTTATACAGGCTGCATATCTGAAGTCATGGCTCTCTTAGGCTATGTCGGTGAACGGACAACCACCACGGGTCCCGGTATTCGAAATCGACCGTTGGACCGAATCTGACGATCGCCCTCTACTCATGCAAGAATCGCTGTTGCTCGTGCCTTGAGAATATTCGAAGATTGCGAGGGAAGTAATCGCAAAGAGGAGACTTCTCTTGAACATGGCTTCTTCTTTTTTTTTGTCTTTGGGACTACTTACCTCGCACGGTATGGCTAGACGGCGTACATCGACCCTTCGTCGACGGCCCTGAGAGCTATTGGCTATCTGCATCTGCCCAAGCTCAGTAGTATTATCGACAATCCCCATCATGGGACTGGGGTCTGCACGGATTCCGGGGGCAATGATCGCCGCGAATCGGTTCTAGTACCATCTTATTCGGTCTTGCTGCACTCTGCCGTTCGTCGGGTGTTCACACACTAGGACAGCTGACTTCAACAGTAATGTTCTGTATGGAGTATAGAACAGTTCACCAATCAAGCTGCCGGTCGAACTATGTCGAAGTTGGAGTTCATTCCACACTGAGTTTGTGCAGCGCTAAAGTTGCCTGGACTTGGGTCAGAGAGATGTCACATGGAATCTGACCAATGCTGTGTGTCTCCAACGGTTTTGACAGGGTCCAGCTTTTTTTCGCGTTTTTCTTTTTTTTTTTTAAAAAAAAAAATCTTTCCTGCACTAGTTGGGATGAGACGTCAATCTTTCCCTCGAAGGTCGTTGCTCTATTTCTGGTTGAGGGGTTTACCTTCTTTCCTTTTTCGTCCTTGAGTCGAAAAAGAAAAGAATTCGATGCGCATCAATTCGCGGACGAGAACGTGTTGAAGAGAGGGAGGTTGAAGCTGAGGGCACGCGCGCCGCAAAACAGACAGACAAGAAGTATCAACAGAGAACAAGCCAGAGGAGCAAGATCAGCATTGAACAGCACAAGGCTTTTATCTCCCAACCTGCACACCAGGAGTACATAAGCTTCTTCTTCTCAAAGGCCAGGTGCACCCATTGTAATCCACTGTTCTTTATTCTTGATCCACGCAACAGTGAAGTTGGAACAAGGAATGTTTTTTGGGCCCTGGCATGGTCTAGCTCAACAGCAAACTCGTGGCGAGGGTGGTATTTGTTCTCAAGCTTGAATGGGTAACCTGGAGCTTCAGGGCTTGTGCACAACGATCATCTGCAGACCATTTCCGCCGCACAACTACCAGGGTCGCTAATTGGATGCCGTAAAGGGGCCAGCCTAGGTAGACAACGGAGATTGAAGTGCGCGCCTTGAGGGTGTGGGCAGGAGGAGGAACCGTGAGCAAAGCATCTTCATCCAACATCCAAAAATCAATATCAAGCGAGCAGTTCCCTCGCAACAATTGTCGGTTCAGCCCTGCCTTTTCCTCTGGATCATTCGGCACTGGAGAACGGTCTCGACAATCCTCGACCTTCCGAGCCCTGCGTCAGGTCTTCTATTTAAACTCCCGAGGAGCAGGACTCTATTGTCTCCAGCCGCCGTCCTCTTGACGTGGAATACCGACTTTCTGGGACAACCGATCTACATATACATAGGGTTGCAGCTGAGAATGAAAACCTGCATCAACTGATGCAAGATAGTCTCCCTCTGCTGAGCTGAGCGCATTCCAGTGAGTCTTATCATCTCTGTTTCCTGTTCTCTCGCATCGGGAGTCTCCGTGCCTCTCGTCTTTCCCTTCTCATTCTCCTCCTTGGAATTCGGCCTTGGAACTACGCTTTACTTCGGAGCCGAAACAGTGTCATTCCTGGTGATGCTTCTCATGGCCATGACATGAGTCATGGAGATGTCACTGGCTGCATGAAACCTGCAAGCTTTGGTGTTTTGGAAGACTTTTCGTCAAGACCTGCTGGACATCTGCAGCGCGATGGCTAGCAACAGGGCTGTATTGGCTCCGTTCATTGTCTACGTCAATATTCCCGTACCGTTCATAAACCTGCCAAAGGCCTCTATGTCTTTTTAGTCACTGCCCTCGAGGGCATATGTGTGATGCTGCTTTCATGCTTCCTTTTTCTCTCTCTCTCTCTCTCTCTCTCTTCTTCTTCCCTCCCATGCTGCTTATTGCTTTCAGCTCTTTCCAGTCCGTTTTTTTTCACTGGTCTTCTAATTCACAAACCCAACTCCCCTTCATTTTATATCTCTTCCCTGCTTGATGGGTTTGGCCGTTTTCTTTGAGATTTCATTGCTCCATGCTTTCTGTTTCTCTAGCAGTTGTGTCTCTAATAGATTAGCCTAGCGCTGCTGCCTTGAAGCTAGGATCCTATTGCTCGACCAGAACGCTGAAGGCGGACAATATCTCCGGGTAAGAGCGACGACCTATTCGAAACCGCGCGGTTGCGAGCCTTACGGGCAGGCCTCACTGACAGCGTCTATCAGCTGCGCTCTCACCCTGTTTAGTGTCATCCAGGTCTAGTGTTGACAGGGTCTTTTCGTCGCTGCTCAGCTTAGGCTGTCAATCAAAATCGAAGACGCCCCAGGCACGAACCCGTCTTTGAGCTTAGTTTGCTAAATCCTCAAAAGTTTATCTATTGATCTTTGTGACTCTTTTCCTTCTTTTATCATTACTGGTTTCCCCCCCTGTTCTCTCTCTCTCCTCTATTTCTCGCTTACTCTTAGAGAGGTTTTCTGTCTTTCGAGGTAGTTACCCTTCTGTGGCTTTTCCCAATGAATCATTGTAAGTGGTTCTGTCTCTTATTTTCCTGACATTCCTTACCCTGGCACCTGGCAAGATTACCGTCAATTCCATGATGCGGTTTCAGCGGCCGACTAGGCTCGTGACCTCCCCCCCCCCAGTCGCGATTACTTCTGACAGGCAGCCGATCTACATCCGTGGGAAGGGTGACGTTAAGATTCTCTTTTGTTTTTTTTCTACCTACACTTCAAGCTTCTATTTCGGTTACACAATTTCAGAATGCCCGATTTCCTTGAATTCGCATGACATCAAGGATCACTGCTTCCTACTTCCTTGGCTGACAGGGAGTGAAATCGAACCCTTTCCTCCATGCTGGTCTGGCGGAAGCCAAATCTTCTTGTACCTTTTTGTCAATTACTATTATTCATTTCATTTCCTTTTTCATATTTCTTCTCAATCATTTTTTCTTTTTTTTTGCTTTTTTTTCTTCCCCCTTCCGTTTCTTTTTTTTTACTTTTTCATTTCTCGCTCTCATCCACTGCCTCCTCTCTCTCTCTCCGCACGCGAGAGAGAGAGAGAGAGAGACCCAATGTGGTGATAGTATTTCTCTGTCTTTCCTTCTCTATCTATTTCATCATGCTCTCCTCCCTTTTTCTCCCCCCGCTGGCAACTGTCCAAAGCCACCCTGCTAACTATGGGTTTATTGTCAGCAACTCTTTTGCAAAACTCGTTTCCACTGGATGGTCCCCTCAATACTGACGGAGACTACGCGGGGGCGCAACGGCCGTTTTCTGGATCGACAGCTTTTCCAATGGACGAAGAAGAAAATACCCGGAGAGGTGGCGCCGTTGGCCATCCTCTCGCGCAGCCTGTCTCAATACCTGCTACCAACGGTTTGCGATACAACACACAGCAGACTGCACTGCAGGATGTACCGTAAGTTCAGTTCTCTTTCAATCCAGGCTATCCTCGTGCTCCACTTGTCCCGCTTGCAGCCACTAGTTGCAGCATTTCCTTCTTGTCCAAACAGCCTGACTACCGAGTAGCTCGCTGTTCAACCCACCCTCTCTCTGTGTTGCTGTCATGCTGCTTCTGCTTCTTTGGATTAGTCCTTTTCATTTTATCTTAGTCTATTTTTCTGGATTGGATTTCCTTCCTTTCAACCTCTGAATACTTGTCCTATTATTATCTCATGCTCATTTTCCCAATTTCTTCTGATATTCCGTTTCGGCCTGTTATCCTTATTTCATCAAAGGTTTGGGTCTGGTAGCCTGTTGCTTGCAGAGTGCATTAACTTGTTGCTCCCTGGTCACATCCTTGGCCCGTTCGCCTCGCTTCTGATACGCTTATACATGCCTTGCAATCATGATGCGTTGGAAGCCAATGAACTATACCTGGCCTTTCTGTTGTCCTATCTTATTTTGGCTCTCGTTGCCGCCATTCTCTCCAGACTTATTGACACCTCCCCCACCGACACAGCATCATGACTAAATAGATTCACAGCTACGCAGCGTCTCCAACCATGATTATGAGCCCTACTGACTCGTGCTCTGGTTTGTCTCCATCTCGCCCTAGCCATCTGCTCTTTGTCTTTGGCTATTTGAGCTCGTAGCTAATGGGTGTACTTCCTAGCAGAGACCTTCTCTTCCACATCCAATTCTATCTACTCACATTCACCCGGCCTATCCTATGATAGAATTTCCGATTTTAGATCCCATCGAGTACCTCCGGCGCTGTAAGTCTGTCTACTTACTCGATGATTCATTCTCAACATGGGTTGATTGATAAGAAAATTTTGGGATCCATTTAGTCAACCACCGACCAACATGTCGCCCAGCGTACCATCGCAAGCCACTGCAGTTTCGGTAGGGAGATCCGACAACTATTCAGGCTATGCACTTCATCGCGGAACGTTTCCATCATTGTCGGCCCTACCCGAGATGAGTAGGATGACTCCTTATACGACAACACCAAGAGCACTCGAGGGTCCTGTCGAGCGTTCTCTTTTTGGGCAGTCGACAAACCTGCTGATTGATCCTGTTCAGCGCTTGGCGCAGCCCATGACGGATGCACCTCCGTTCCATGAGACCAATGTCATTCATCCCATCATCTCGGGCAATCAAACAATTAGACCTGAGATACAAGCGAAAATTCACAAGGGATTTTTCCAAGTGGACGAAAAGTGGACCTGCTATCGCCGCAACTATTTCTCTGTCTCGTGTTCTTTTTCTTTATGCCCTATGGCTCATGGTCCCCTTTACCTCAAATTTTCCGAGCAATCAACGGCAGAGCGCATCCTGTCATTTTCTATGTCTATTTCGGCAATAGTAAATGCACAATGCGGGGAGCCTCGAGAGCTGGTTCAGCACACCCCGAAACGAGACAAGCAGTCGGAAAGAAAACCAGGGAAGATCGTGCTTCAACCGTGCCAACCTTCGCCATTAGCCCTGGGCCACGGTGGGGCATCCAGCAGCAGTCCTCACAGCTACTCACTCACACAGTCGGCCGGAATACCGATGGAGTATACTTCCACGTACGCTGGGGCCCCGCAGCCGTCACAGCCCCCGACACAACACACTTTTGAACGCATCCAATTTCAGAAAGCGACGGCAAATAATGGCAAGCGACGGGCTCAACAGCAATACTATAATCTGGTGGTAGAGCTATATGCAGAAGTCTCCCATCCGGTGGGTGGAACTGAGACCCAATGGTTTAAGATAGCCCGCCGACTTTCTCACCCCATGGTCGTTCGTGGTCGCTCCCCAGGCCATTACAAAGATGGCCGACGCGATAGCTCAACGAGCATGGGCCCAGACGGGGGGAGTGGGGGCTCGGGCGACGGCACCGGAGGCGCTGTCCTACCCCCGGGCATAGGACAGGCTGCACGGTCTCACTTGACCTTAATGCCGTACGACGCTTCTCACCGCGGCGGTCCACATTATCCTCGCACCGATTACCATCAAATGACAGCCGCAGACCAGTCACCGCTCAGCGAAAGCCCGCATATATCTTCATCTTCCTCATCAGCGTTCGACCTGGGGCTCATTACGGATACAATGGACCCCATGGATTCGATGAAAAATACGACTAGTATAGATTCATATCAGGATCCTGGCTACCATGTTCTGAATGGCCGAAAGCCCGGTAGCCAGTACCGCCACCACCTGCCGTCTTTTGACTACGACTCAATCACTAAAAGCAGCGACGAGACCGGCAACGGGTTCGCGGACACTTACGACCCTATGGTCTCGTTTGTCCCCAACGACCAGCATGAGTCGTCGCATTATCTGAAACAACCTTCTCGAATGGCTCCAAATCTCTTTCACCATTCCACGAGCAGTGGGTATGATCCTGTCTATTCAACGCGTGCCAGCGACGGCAGTCCTTATGGTCGCTTTTCAAATTCCCAGAGTCTGTGCGCTTAGCAGTTGGCACTTTCGGCTTGACCCTGACTTGCCCTTCCTGTTACGCTCCTTTTAGCTGATGAACCTTGACCTCTAGTCCTGTGGACTGCGTTTCTCCTTGTACCGCCTCCTACATCCCTTCTCTTCTATTCTCAGCCTTCTCTCATTGAAAGCTCCAACACTATCACTATATCTCTGCTATTCAGAGCCCTCGGGAGGATCAAACTTGACGGGTCATTCTGGTCTCCCTTTTGATGTTGTTTTGTCCTTCCTTTTCTTATTCCTCTTCTTCTTTCTTTCTTTCTTTCTTTCTTTCTTTCTTTCTATCTCTTCTTTCCATGTGAATTTTTGTGAACTATTTTTCCTGGGGGGGAAAAGAAAAGATTTTCGGATGCTTGCGATGGACTTTCCGAACAAAGCCTTCTATGTGTTCGATATAGACTGACAGCTTGAGTTCATTGACATTTTCCATGTAGCCAAAGCAAGCGAAATTGCATTGATTATTCGAGAGAACTGACCTATGCGAGCCTATTCTTTGTTTCTTTGTTGGGGAGCTGCTAAGGTTTGCGCCTTTAACCTAGCCCATCAGGTTCATTTCTTTGTGTCTGTATTGACTTTTAACCCATAGCGGGTCTCTTTCCATTTCCCCCGCGAGGAGTAGGAAGCCACCAAGGACCTGCGGTATCAGATCAGGGAGACAGAATCCTCTCCCGCGATAAGAAACCCCGATAATAGGGACAACAAACGCATGAGTCTGAGCGAATGCACGAGAAAAGCCAAGAAACAGGGAAATGCAACCTTCGCGGCCCAATAATTGGTTCTGGCGGGGGCTCAGAAATTTTCCGATATGTTGCCCTACTTAGGACTAATTTGAGGGTCGCCGCTGTCAGGCCAACCTAATGATGCATGTCAAACCGACATGGGGGAGGGAGAAAGGGAAGAGGGGAAGATCGAAAGTGTACGGGAAAAAAAGCAAATAAGAAAAAGGAACAAAAAAGAACCGATTTCGATCCATACTCAAAGAAGCAAATGAACAAGCCTGCCAGATGGTGGAGGCAGTTGGAAAGTGGACATCTGGCTGGTATCCGTTTGTATAGGAGCAGAGAGAGGGGGGAGGGGGGAGGGAGACGGATGTGCATCTCAGTCGAAAAAGGCTGGACTTGCTTGATCTCCTCCCAGGCTTCATCTGCCATGCGCCGTGCCCCGATCAGTCCAATGGACAAAATGAAAAAGGAGACTTGGAGGACCGGTGGTTTCGGGGAGACTCCAAGAGAGAGAAACAACAGCAATAGGAAATAGAAGGAGAGGGAGGGAAGAAACCGGGAAGGGACAGAGTCAGACGAGCTCAGTCAGCCCCAATGATGATGATGAGGAGGAGGAGGAGGAAGATCGACAAACTTTGGTAGACTTGCTTCCATACAGACAAAAAGTAAGAAGCATGTGTATGTGTATGTCTATGTCTATGTACAGTACTTGACTTTGTGTACTTCCGTGCAATGAATGGACGGGATGGTACGGTACCTGCCAAGTTTGGCGGCCGGCCAGCAGCAGCAGCAGCAGCAGCTGGTGCTCACTGCTCACTGACACTGGCTCTCTTTGAAGGATTGAACCTCACCTCCTTTTCCCCTTCGAGCTCCCTGGCCCCGCCACTTCCAGTCCTTTCCGTCTCTTCTTTGTTCTAATTGGTTCCTTCTCGTTGTCTTGTTGTTGTGGTTGTTGAGTGGAGAAAGTGGAGTTAATGGGCGCTCTACTCATACCTACAGTCAACGAACCACTAGTTACAGTTTGCCCGGCAATTCGTCTTTGACTTCCTTTGCGGCTCAACGGGTTTGCTTGCACCCCCCCCTCCCCCTTCCCAACTCCATAGCCTCCGATCTCCCGATTGAGTAGTATAGACAGTATTTCCAGTCTCGCCCATCGCGTTTCAGTTCAGTCCAGTATATATATTCCCGTCTCTCGGTCCTCAATTCACCGATCCATACGCGCGGTCCGGGAGGGGGATGCTTCCTTCTTCCACAGCTGCGGATGACAAGACTGGAGCGACGTCAAAAAAGGAACATGCGACTAACGCGATGATCGCCCACCCGATGCGTTCCATGATCGACCGGACATACATTAGGCCGCGGAGTGAATCGCGTTAGGAAACCCGCATCGTTCCCTTCTTTTTGCCTCTTCTTTAGAGGCTTAGTAGCGCTCTCGCTCCCTCTCAACCCCACACGGTACGATGCAGCTCCCCCGCTCAATAGTGGTCAGACAGATGGTGCTGCGGAAAGCTCTAAAGTACTCCAGGTACAGTACATACATTACCTACTCCTAGGTAGGTAGGACTTTTACCTATTCAAAACTGGAAGTTCTATGGAGTGCTGGTTGGCTGCTGCCTCCACTAAACTTACCGCTCTCGGCACGTTCCGGTGCCGATCCAGACGATCTCATTTATGTACTCCGTACTATGTATCTCTCAATCAAGCTGTAGGCGGTCTGCAAATGCAGACATGGGTGCTTGAACTTCTATCCTCGCCACCACTCTTGGGAAAGCTTTGCCTTTTTAAGAGTTCAGCATGTGGATCCGCAACGAGAAAAGAGACTTTATTCACTTATTCTCTATCGAAATGGGCAATAAACGGAAGAGCCAGGAAGGGAATACGCGATACCCTGCTCTCTTGCCATCAACTTGTTTTCAGAACGAACCCACATACATACATGCTCAAGCCCCGTTCTCTCATCTGATTTCGAAAGCCAGGATACAGCGATCATTCCTAGAACCACATGCAGCTGGCCCAGCCTGCAGCAGCCGAGACATCATCAGAGATCATATTAGTCCGACCCGATTGTTTTCGTTCGAATGGCTTATTGATTCTAAACGGTGGCAAGTGGAGGTTGTCGTGGCTACCGAAGTCAGACAGTCTCGGCGCAATAAAGATCCCTAGAATAGCCCACCATGCACGTCGTACAAGGGAGTAGGGAGGAGGGGAAGGGTCCGACAGGAGACGATCGGCTCCGGGCCCTCCTTTGAGCCACAAGACGCCAGCCATTGATGAACAACGGTGAAGACAAAGAAAAATCGCCTGCTTCTGGAAAAAGCACCCAACATGAACCGCCGCGTTGCCTTCCGGCCAGGACACCTTTCCGAAGCGTGGTGCGAATATCGCGATGAATCCAATCCTTTCGCAGTTTCACCGCATCATCTCTGATCCTTGAGCAAGGTATGAAGCCTATCGCCTTGCACAATTCAACCAACGGTCAACGTTGCGGGGCCACTGTTCCTTCGAATTTACCCGCCCACCACGAAAAAGGCGACAGGGACGCCTCGTTCCAATGATCGTCTAGCGCGGTTCATGTGGGAAATAGGGGCCTTCGGCGAATTGCATGCGACAACAACCCAGGAAACATCTGAAGCAAAAGGAATCCTTGTATTCTGTATGTCCGTTGATCCTGAGTCGTGGGTCTGGTTTCCGGCCTGGGCTTGTGTCGAATCCGAGACCCTGGGCCACGGCCGGTTGAGATCCCTGGCAGGAAGAGAAACAAACCCACCATGCACACCCCTTGTGTGTATGGGCTACTCTTCGCGTCAATACTGGCCTCGCGTTAACCAGTCCCATTGCGATGCTGGCGGGGCGGTTGAGTCCCGAAACCCCTGGGCTCAGACTTCGGATGCTCACTTCCAGTCACCTGGTGACTGCGTCCAAGACCAGCTGTCTGGGGTGAATGATTCGATGCTCATTCTCGATTTAGTTGCTTCGCTTGCTTCCACTTAGGGAGTGTTGTAGTTCTTCTTCAAGCCCTTTTCCTATTCGAACCGACGAAACCATAGCGATATTCTCGATCACCTATATCAACATACGAATGGCTGTCCCCAAACCTCATCCCAACACTGCATACGTCAAGACTTCTGTTTCACGAAACGGTTTTGCCGGATGCTGTGTCCCATCAACTAACTTCTGACAAGGCTCAACACGCGACGAGAACCCAAGACCTCTGCCGAATGCCAGCTCAGTCAGTGCCCTGCACCGACATGCCGCCCAGTCTGCCATACCGCTCTCCCTCCTGGCTTCATTCTTCTCCAGCCCTCACTTCATGCCTTATTCGCCACCACGTCGTCTTATTCTTGAATTTTGCGTCAATCACCCATTCCGCCTGCAAGACGCTCATGTGACAGTGTTGCCAGTCCGTTCATTGCCAGGTTAATGACAAGTATTGGCAAAAGAAAACTCGAGGCCCCGTTTCAGTCCAGTGGACACACAAAAGCAGTTCTCCCTGTGGGGGGGGTTTTTTTTGAAACCCAATTGTCTCCCGCACATTGCTCTGAATCCAGATATCGCGTAGCTTGGGCGGTACGGAACCCCCTTGATCAAACCGCCAGGAGGCCTCTATTTCAGCAGCCCAAGTTCCGTCCGACTTGGAAAAATAAACCCTCCATCTCTCTGCCTCTGCTTTTCTTGGTATACCGCCC